AGATAAGAACCCAGAGTCTGACGCTATCTCCATGTTTCACTGCAGGCATGCCAAACATCGGCATTGTTTGAAAGCTGAAGTTTAACTCCTTCCTCCTGGAAGATTTCAGCCTAACCTGCATGTCATTCAGTCTGGCAACTTTACTTCTTGGTCCAGAAAAACGGACTGCAGATTGTTGTCGCATCATGAACACAAGCACAAACTGGAAATTTCTTTACAGACTGTTGGCCTCTTGCTATTGATTTTTATTTTTGTAACTTGCTCCTTTTTGGTCTGTTTATGCAACAATATCTTTTGCAGTTATTCTAATTATTTATGCAAACAAATGAACAAAGTTTAAAGAAACCCTACTGATTCATTTCTGTTTAATCCGATTCAGTGTATTTGGAGGCAGGTGTGAATCATATATATATTGTAGATTTGTTTTAGTGCCTGTGACTCATGTAGGAAAGTGTTTTGTTACAGTCTGAGACATTGGTACCTAGCATCTTATGCAGTCTAATTGAAAGAACCAAGGACAAACAGTACAAAGGCTGGCAGAATGCGGCTGCCACTGCAGAAGAAGAAGAAGTGATAAACTGATTCTGTCTGCAGAAATAAGGACAAACTTTTCCACATTTTCCTGTTCAAAACCTTTTATTTATTCATTTATTCAGCCAGGTATGTTGATTGAGAACACGCTCTCATTTTCAACAACAGAATAATACTTTAAATATGTTTGCTTGCTTTTGGGCGCCTCGTTGTTTCAAGGGTAATATCTGGGCGTTAATTTGGGGGTTTTGTCAATTGATTGTGCCTTTTTGGGTTTATGTTGTCTTTAACTTCTTTGTGTTTTCTTTAACATATTCTGAGGTTTTCCACTTGTTTTGGCCCTGATAACTTTCATAATAAAACAGCAAGAGAAAGAATTGATTCCCGGTCATTGAGTGAAGTCCAGTTCAAACTCTTCTAATGCAAGCTGCCTTCTCAAGTGGAAGAAACTGTAGATTAAACCCAGAAAGTGGGAAACGCTTGACAGTATGAGTTAAAAACAACCTCAGGTCCAACCGTGTAAAGAATATTTAATATACCGTAAATAATGACGGTCATTGTTCTCCATCTGATTCCTATGTTAGATTAAAGTAGTATTTCTTGTGGTGCTTTACCTTGTTTTCTAAAACTGTTTTGTAATTATTCACAGAAATCGGTCCTACAACATCTTGGGAATCTTAATCTGGGGCCAGGAGGAATGGAGGCAGAAGTCTGCAATCCGGGCATAGCAGTGGATTCAGGTAACCCATTGCTAAAAGCAGTTTTCCTCAGACGACTGAGGCTCACAAGGCTGCTTTTAGAGGGCGGAGCGTACATCAATGAGAGTGACAGCCAAGGCCAGACGCCCTTAATGGTGGCTTGTCGGACCAAGCATACCGACGCCCAGAGTGCCAGTCGGGTTAAGCTGATCCAGTTTCTCCTGGAGAGAGGAGCAGATCCAAACATTCAGGATAAGGAAGGACGCTCTGCGTTGATGCATGCCTGCCGGGATCAGGCCGGTCCCGAGGTGGTGTCTTTGCTCCTGGCCAGCGGAGCCGACATCAGCTTAGAGGACCAGTCCGGAACATCGGCGTTGGTCTACGCGGTCGTGGCCGGAGACTGGAAGGTACTGAAGCTTTTGCTCGACACATGCAAGGCAAAGGGCAAGGAGGTGATCATCATAACCACTGACAAGTTTCCAAACGGAAACCTGGCAGCCAAGCAGTACCTCAGCATGCCTGTCGCCGATCCCGTTGATGAGACCAATCCGATTACAGCAGCACCTGCGTCTCCCTCTGAAATTCAGCTGATCACCTCCCCGCAGTGCACGTCCTCCTCTTTATGTCCCCCCAAGCAAGTGTTTTCCTTCAAAGAAGGACAGATCTGCGGTGCCAGCTCCCATCCGTGTTCGCCATCTCGGTTTCGAGGACTCGGACAAGCGACGCCCGGCGGACTACAGCAACCTCTGCAGAGACTGAACTCTGAGCCTTGGTTAAAGATCCCAGCGTCTCTGCTTACTGAACCACGCCAGGCAACTTTTAACCTGACTGAAAATATTTCCTTCACAGTCCCCAACCTTGAGAGGGACAGCAGCAATAGCCCCAAAGGCTTCAGACATTATGGAAGAAGATTAGCAAAGGATAGAAGCATCGAAGATGGCAAGAATGACTGCAGTGAACACGAAGGAGACGTGATTTCTTTATCAGGTCTGCTTTCGTCCCACTCTGCCTCTCACCCCAACCTGCACTCTGAAACTCATGGCACAGACCCAGCTGCCAGCTCTTCAGCTCTTTGTGGTGGCAGCAACCTTGGTGCGACCTTTCACGGCTTGGCCTCATCGAGCCTTAATCATGTCATACAGACACACAAGCTGAGCGCAGACATCTACGGCTCCGACCCACAGCTAGCTGTGGATCTTCAAAGTCTCTCTGAAGAGCAGAGAGACAAAGCACCGTTAGATGGCAAGAAACTGGCGCCGCTGCGTTGCTCGACCACGATGGGCTCTAGAGACTCCCTGAAAGGCCACAGCAAGAGAGTGTTCTCTTTGTATGAGCGCAGGGGGTCCGGGACGTTCCTGCTGGACCACAACCATCAGGCCAGGCCTAGATCTCTGCCACCGCTGACCAAAAACCCCAACGTCAACGTTGCTAGTAACGGTTTGGGCAACGGAAGCGGTTTCTCCGAAAAAGAGCTCGGTCAGAAGGGTTTCCTGCCCTGCGCCCCGCCTGGACAACCGAAGGAACTGACCCGGAGGATGCTGTTGAGGAGACACTCGATGCAGACCGAACCGTTCAAAAGCTCGGTCTGAAAATGAGGCGACAGAGATAGGGAGTGTTCACTGTGTTCAAGGCGGCTTCTGTTGTGAAATCATTGTGAAATTTGTTATGAAAAGTAAAAAATAAAACAAACACACCCTGGGCTTGACAAAGAAAACAGACAACACAGTACAGTGCTGTGAAAGAGTATTAGTCCCTCTAAAGACTTCTTCTTTTTTTGCTTTTCTGGTAAACTTAAATGTTGCAGATGGCAAGACAAACATATCTAGACCAAATATGATGAGCAATTTCCTATGTTTATCTGTTTTATTAGTGGAAATGTAATAACCAAACCAACCCTCTGATCCAAAACCTGGTTGTCCCGCCCTAATGAGCAACAACTCATAAGAGTGAGACAAGAGATTAAATGTTTGCAATCACTGAGTCAATGAGAAAATCCTGAAGAGGATAATTGATTCTGGAACTTAAGCTCAAGCATTTTGTGTTATGCATCGTCACTTGTCGATAAAGAAGGCTTGTACATTGGCCAGCTTTATAAACCACTGAAAACACATTTTTACTCTTTGGTTTTACGTTTTAGTGATGCTTTAATGTTCTGATATAGTCTTCATGTGCTTGTTGCCATAACCCCAATTTTTTTAATCCTATTTTAATTTACCTCCATTTTATCTCATCCTTCTTTGTTTTCTTATTAATTTCTTATTTCTTACTTTGATTTCTTTGTTTATTGCAACTTGTTGTACAACCATTTGACAAGAAAAGGATGCAAATCACAGCGCCAAGTCTTCGTTTGATTTTGATCTGATAATTGTTGCTAGCAAGACTGGCAAAAGGTGCAGATTTACGTAAGACCAAGCTGGTTTGGACGACTTCTTCATACTTGAAAACTCATTTTTGAATCCAGTTCTTCTTCACAGCACTGTACCTCAGTGACAGTCCAACGCCAGGATATGCTATGTTGTTTGTTGCTTCAGGTTCTGTCCACACTATCCCAGATCCCAGGTATGTTGTAATTAACGATGGTTTGTGCTCTCTGTGTACCTCTCATCCACATCTAGATAGATTTTGGGGGATAACTTAAAAAAAAAAAAAATACAGTCTACCAATGTAGAGGTTTTGGAAATGCTAAAATATCAGCCTAATTCATTCTCTCTCACCATCTGTGCTTAAAAATAAAAAAAAAATAAAAACTAGCAGTGGAGCCTTTTGTCAAGACTTTCCCAATGTTTCTCATTTCTGTATTGTTTCCATGAAACTTTCAAGCATGAACTGAAAGGCTTAAACTTTATGTTGTCTGTAATAACTAATGTATCACCTTGAGCTTGATGGAAAGTAAATACATCCTCAGAGTGGAGGAAGGTCCCAGTTAGGCAATTTTAGCAGACTTTACTATTTAAAATTCAGCTTTTTTTTTCTTTTAACCAAACAACTTGAACATACAGTTTCCTCTTGTTTTAATGTCCAGCAACAAGTGGAGGAATAATGTTGTTTTCTGCTCTGCTCTTGTATAAAAGACTTTATCACAACTTTCCAATGAAGAGACAGTGCAGGATCAAAGCCTGAATTCAAGCCTGTATTTAAAGTTTTACTTTCAAAAGTTACAAAAGCAGACACTTTCAGAAACATTGGTGACGATGTGTGCAGGATTAGAAAATGAATAGCAGTTATGCCCCCTTGTGGTAATAATGACCAATGAATTACAAGGCGCCAATTTACACTGGATATTAATAAAAAATGCTATAAAATGTCTGAATGATGCTGCTGTAAAAAAAAAAAGAAGAAAGAAATCTTCATATTAATGTTTAAAAAATGTTTGTGAAATTCTGTTGCTGACTGCAAATGTTTAAAATGTTTGTTGCTCAGTTAAAAAACAAAAACAGTGTTCAATAAAAGATTTTATTCAAATAAAAATGCATCACAGATCATTGCAAAACATATCACAGCATAAGAGATTTGCTAATATTCCAAACTGTGTACAAGAGAGGACCTTTACAAAACCACAACCCGCATATTTACAGTCATTTTACAGTGAAATAGTAATGAAAAATCAATCAGCTGAGATCAATTTGGTGTAGGGGAACCTACTAAAACCAAGCATTATTTTTCATATTCTGTTCCCTTAAAAGACAAGTCGCAAAACTCTTCCTCTAGACAATAAATATGTGTGATGATAATCACTCAAAATACAAACAACGGCATAATACAAGAAAAAAAAATCTGTTTCTGTGGTGCTAAAAAACATAAAATACAACCAAGCTGTCACAACTTTCATGTAAATCACCCTATCTTTGTCCTTTGGAGACAAACTTACTGTCAAAAAAAAAAAAAAAAAAGTGCCAACCCAGATTTACAGCTGTCCTTCCTGCGCTTGACAAGAGTCATTAATCCAGACTCATTCAGGTCCTGCGGTCGTAATCACTGACCATCTTCTTGATGTGGTTCAGTTTGTGCTTCAGATATTTACACCTGCGCTTCTTCACCTGGTAATCTGCAGACTGAAGAGACAAAATAAAGTTTATATGAGCAAGAAGGGAAGAAAGGAGGAGTACACTGCAAAAACAGTCTAGTTTCCAGTAAAAACATCTCCGTACACTTGAATCAAGACGAAACCAACTTCATATAGGTGCTTGTTTTAAATCAATCATTCCTTAATATTGATGGTAAAGTACCCAGTAAAATACCAGTTAATTATTTCACTAGTAGGAAAAAAAATTCTTGTTATAAGTAAAATTATTACTGCTAATAGAAAAATTATTTACTCCATTGTTTCTCCTTAGAATTTTGACTTTGATCTGAGAACAAAAAGTCAAAATTCTGAGAAAAAATTATGAACTGAGAAAAAAAAGAATTTTGTGACAAAAATTATGAATTTTGAGTGAAAAAAAATGACAATTTTGATTTTCTTTTCTGAAAAGTACTAAATGCTACAGCCATTATATTTTTATTACAAAACACAGCCTGCAGTTTTCTGAATGCGTCAATGTGTATGGAAAGAAAAGCTTTCAAAGCCCACTTGTAATTATTTGAACACAACTAAACCTTTTTGAAAGCAATTTCCTCTAAGACATTAGTCTGTACATATACGCTTCCTCACTGAGCTGGTGGTGATTTGTGATTGGAAACCAGGGCGCAGAAGCTGAAGCAACATGAAAATGTCCTGCAGAGGAACAGTCTCGTCTTGTGTTGTCAAAGCTCTCCTGAAACTAAACTGTTTAGTGATAACCTTAACGATAAAACTCACCTTCTTGATTCTCTTCAGCTTGTTGTACTCATCCAGAGTGTCCTGTTAACAAGCAAACACACATTTCAACATGTAGCTTTGTCGAAAAATAAACAGGATTTTTCTGCTTGTTGCCTTTAAAATGAGGCTAAAAACCTTTTTATTTGCTTTTGCTGACTCTGCTGTTTTTTTAATGTAGGTTGTTTTTAACTTCTATCTAGAAACACTTTGAGTTGCCTTTGGCTGGACGATAAATAAAAGTTGCCCATCTCAGGAAAACACTGCTGTGTTTTGGGAGTCCTCACCAGGAACTGTGGGCTTCCCTCCTCCAGCCCGTCCAGCTCTCTGTCCAGATTGGACAGGTCCTTGTTGAGGATGTCCAGCTCCGCCTGCAGGTCTTTGTACTCCAGGTGGTCGCGGTCGAACTCCTGCTTGTAGCTGTTGCGCTCCTGCTCGTTTGCTATTGGCGGGAACTCGCTGCGGGAGGGAGGACGATTAGATCAACTTTAATCTTTCACAGAACCGTATATGAGAGTCTCAGCTTTGCTTGACGTGTCCCGGTTGCCTGGCTACCTGTCGAAGTCGTTGTCGTCCAGCTCGTCCCCAGACGAGTTGTAGTCTGTGTCGTAGTCCTGCCCGTCGGCGCGGCGTGGCCGTCCTGCGCGCCTCTTTTTGGGCCGCCCCGTTGAGCTCGTGATCTCAGAGCTGCTGCTGCTGTAAGGGGCCCCGTTCTGCAAGGGCCTTTCAACCATAGGTCTGTGAAGGAAAGAATTTAAAACCATTATTATATTAATATTAGATGCAGGGCCAAGTTTTACTAAAAGCAAACGTCCTGAGACGAGACGAAGCAAAACTTTCTAAACAAAAGCAGAATTACAGATTTTCATTTGGAGGCGTCCCACACTAACATGACAACACCAGTTGCTTCATCATTCATAAGCTACTTTATGTGTAGCATACCTACTATCATTTGTAACTATCATACCAGTGTTTATTATGTCTTACAATCTTACAAAAGTAGCAAACAAAGAAAATGTTTGGATTTTGAGATGCAGAGTGGCATTTGAGTGTAAACCTGCCACAATGAACATAAAAAAATAAAATGAGCTTAATCATTTCCATTCTCATTACTAATACTTCTTGAATGGCAATTTTGTTTACAGTGACATCACAATCCATTTTAGTTGTGGTTCCGGTTGTGTGTGGTTTTTATTTACATTTTATTTATCGTTATTGGTTGTTGTGATTTATATTTGAATATTTAAAATATCGTCCAGCTCCAGCGTGAGATGTTCTTCACAGAAAATAAACTTTATTGGCCTTTGAGAGTGTAAACTCGCCCTATTGGGCCGTTATGAATATATCACTAGAAAAATGGTCTCAAAACAACATTATCGCAATATTATTTGGGAGAATTCATCGTCCAGTAAAATCTGTTAGTGTTACAGGTCTTTTTAAGTGTGACATGTTATTTTAATTATTTAAAAGCAACATCAGCTGATAAACTCTAAATTTACAGTAAGCATGTTTGATATCTTATATTTCTCCAACAGTGGAAGAGATTCCCTGTTATTTCTATACAAACTATAAAAAATACAGAAATTGTTTTTTTTTTTTCATGTGTAAAAGGATTTACTTTGTATTATTCATTATTATTTACTTTATAAATACGTATATGTGCTCTTGGGGACCCCCCAAGAGGACCCTACATAGTTGAGCCCCCACATCCAACTATGTAGGGTGTTGCATAACTCATCTACTACTAGACACTGTCATCTTCCCTCAGCACAGAAACATTTCCCATAGTTTTACAGTGAAAGTAAAACATGACTCATGTCTCAGTTGGTTTTGGTCTCGTGAACTGCTGTCTTTTGTTACAGCGTCACTTCCACAAACGCTTGCTGATTTTCCACTAGCAAGCAATAATCCTTTCAAACACACTGTTTTAGTAGCATTAAGTATGAATCCTCACTGTGGGGTGTAGCTTATGGGGGGTTTGTCGTAGTTGCTCTCATCATCCAGGTAACTCCTCGAGCCTCTCCGCTTCTCGGGGTAGTCTGAGTGGTCTGGGTAGTCTGCAGCTAGGGCCTCTTGAGGAGAAGCAGAGACGTTGTTCACCTTCAAGAGAGATTCAAACAAAACATCACATTAAAGATTTGATCATTTCTTTAAGCTTTATTTTGCTGCACATATTAATCAACATGAATAATTAGCCAGAGAGGCTAATTTTCATCTGAAGTCTCCCAGCAGGTTGATAGAAGAGATAAAAAAATAAATTACTATTAAAATGCATTACAACATACATGACCTATGATTTATGACAGATTTCAATATGAAGCTAAAATAGTGTAATTTCCGGTAAATGTTGATAACAAAAATTTAAAAAAGTTAAACGTATAAGAAAAAAAAACTGTTGATTTAAAAATTAGTCCAAGTGTGAATCTGGAAGTTTATTTGCCAAATTGTGTCTTTTTCTTAACCAAATAAGTGCCGTTCCTTTGGATAAGACAAAACTATTTACAAATATCTATTGTAAAAGTTTCTGTGATTATCTACATGTATATTTAATAAGTGAATAATAGTTTGGAGGAAGGTCTTGGTTTTGACATTTTTAGATGACTGGTATCGAGTTCCCCGGTAAAACGAAACTTCAGGTCTATTGTCTGGAGTTTCTGCAAGTCATGTTGCAAACAATCAGATCCTGTTTTGTGCACAGCTGCAAACTACTTTAACTTGTGAGCTAACAATCAGAGTTCTACTCTAAACTCCCTTTTTTAAATTTAATAAATTTTTTTTCAAATTTCACAACGATGTTCACAGTAACAGTCTATTGGTCGTTTTACTTCCCCGTCTGTCTGTGTCCCTGAGGGCAAAACACAGATATCTACAGATGTCTCCCACCAAGTGTTCAAAAAGCAGCTGAAACAACAGGCGTTCAATTTTATGATGTTAATAGCAAAGTTTGGAAGGCAAGAAAACATTTTCTGAAAGCTTTGTCCACACTTCATGTCTTTCAGAGTCAATTGCATTTGATTTGCAATTTTCATTTTGATCATTTTTAGGTCAATTTTAACAACTGCAATAAAAATGAGCCTGTTTAGATAACTTGAACATATTTACATTATGTGATGTTGATTAACGTGTACCGTCCTTTGACAAATAAGTAAATAAATAAATAATAGCTGTAGCAGTAATTAAATTTTTTACAAAGCGAAACAAGTCATATCAAAACTGACATGTTATTATTAGCCTCGCACTTCAGCAGACTGCTTTGTTAAAAAAAACAAAAAACAACAAAAAAAAAAACATTATCCAAATCAAGACTGTTGTTTATTGAAGACCATGGCCTTATGAATCAAGGCAAATACGTATTTAGAAGAATATAAATTAAACCTGTTTTAGGAGATCCGTTTTTTAAATACCGCAGTTTATTTCTTAAATCTCTTGTGGACAAACTATTTGTGCAGTCAAGAAAAAAATATCAATGCCGTTGTGTGTGCTGCAGTTAGGCAAATGTGATATTTTACTGTACGATATAGGGGAGTTTTTAAGGATTTACATGGCATGAATTTGACTTTAGCGCCAGGACTCTGCCTGTGCTAATGCATTATCTTGAATGACTCAATAAAAGGGGACGGAAAGTTTTTGATCTGGACTTCCCAAGTATCCGTTCCTAAAAAAACGGCTTTGTAATAAATTTCTAATTGATTATATAAAATTGGACACATTTTAATATATTTAATGAAATCCCTAAATAACTAATTCTGAAAACTTATGAAGCATTCCAAATATTAAGTTGTCTAAGTTGTCTTCCTTAGACAACTTAAAGTGAAACTTTTAAAAGCTTTAATACCCAATAAATTATATTCTGTATATACAGATACTTTTGATCCACCCTGATTCCACTTCAGTTACAATATTTTGCTTTCTTTTTTTTCTCCTCATTTTGCAGTGACAGACCACCAAAGCCCTGATTGAATAAGAAAACTGTCCATTTAAAACTGTTGTTTTACCTTTATATCAGTTTCTGGAATGGCCACTTTGACAGACTCTTGCTTGAGTAAATCCACTGAATTTCTGACATTTCTGGCATGATACACCTGTATGAACTTGCCCTTTGTTTTATAACTAGGCTACACCCAGAAAAACAGGAAGCTCGCCCCAAAGAGGTCTCTGCAGTCTGCATAAGCAGTTTCAAATAGGTTATCACAAACACCAGCAGGGAAAATGTCTGTGGTTCTTAGTATCATGCTGTTGTTGTTGTGTTATTGGTCCAACTGCTGAGTGGTATACAGTAGAGCAGCAGTCTGGCCTGTTTTTCCTGTTTGCTGCTCTGAAGTGAGCTGAAATACTGGGACTTGGCAGAACTGAATCTCATCATAATTCCCATCAAAAATGACTCACACACTCACACTGCTCACTCCGTAACGTTATGAAACACATTTCAAAAGTATCATCGAAAAGCATGACTCATTGCTAAATGTAAACACTCACATTTCAAACAGTGGAAATGTTCGCGGCTAATATGTTCAGAATGTCGATTCCTCTGATTACTTGAGCCAAACTGAAACTGTTATCAGTCTGCATGCCACGCCTTGAAACTGTAGATGGAAGCACTTTAAACTCCACCTTCTTCACTGTTCATAAACACAAGACACTAACTAAACTGGTTTTACCACTTATTACCTTCACTTCCGTCACCTGCTGACAGTCCGAGAGCACATGAGCAGCCTAGAGAGAGATTCTTTCTAGAAAGAAAGAATCCACAAGCTAGCCCTTTTTTTTTTAAAGCATTAGCTTAGAGGTTCTGCTAAGGCTTAGGCGTGTAAAAGTCCAACGTTTTTAGTTGACTGGACATCTTCCAGCCAACTAAGTAAACCGATCAAAGTGTCCATGTTAAATCAAGCCAATTAAACCTGCAGATGTATCAGACTACAATGTTTACCTAACCATTAAAGCCGTCGGTCAACGAACAAACAAAATTTAGATCGGCAGCACCTAAAACCATTTATGTATCCATTTTACGTCTGCCTGATGTTTGGCTACTTAAACTACAAAAAGACAACATTTTACCAAGTACTTTGATCTAGTTTCTAGAGCAAATATTTAAGTACACTCTAAATAAGACAAAAGTAACTTATAAGTACCTTTTCAGCAAGATATGCGAGCTTGTTTAAAGTCAGTAATTCATTAATGTTAATTTTAAAAAGTACTAGTTTCACTGGCAGATTATTTCACTTGTAGCATTTTCACCATAATATGAGTGAAATAATCTGTCAATGAAACTAGTACTTTTTTTATATCAATATTAAGGAATTACTGACTTTAAACAAGCTCACATATCTTGCTAAAAGTAGGTCTGTCACAGGAAGCAATAAATCAATTAATCGCATGATCAATTAAAACAAACTCAATTTCTATTTTCACAATTTATTGTTATTTCTGTTGTCTCTCTTTCTACCAAAGACTAGATTATTTGTAGTTTCTGTTGTTTTGTTTATCTTATTTATTTATTTTATATTTAAAATGTCTCCCAGTTCCAGTGTTAAATGTTCATCAGAATTTAAAGTTTATACATCTTTGAGAATGTGTTCTTGCATTGTATTGCCATTACCATTATATTAATTGAAAAACGGTCTCAAGAAAACAACAATAATATTATCATTTATCACAATAACATCTTGGTCAATTTATCATCCAGCAAAATTTGTTACCAGGACAGGTGTACTTACAAGTTAGTTTTGTCTTAAAGTGTACTATGATATTTGCATTAGAAACTAAACCAAAACTCCTTGTTAAGACTTTATGCTTTTGCAGTGTTAGTGGAAAGGTTTGTGCTTGGTAAGCAGAAAAAAAAAACATTGTTTGCACCCCCATCAACCACCCTTCATCACATCTCCATGATGACTCGGCACAAGAAATAAATTGAGAGGAACTTAGTTTTGCATTTGTGAAACACATAAATACCAGAAAAATGTTAATGGTGTTTTCAGTTCATTTTATCTATTTATCTATCATTTTATCGTTTGGAATAGCTATCCAAACGAACCAAACTGTTTCATTTGAAAACAATTCGCATCCCAAATACCCTTGAAAAATCATGGATTAACTGTCATGTTTTTTTGTTTTTTTTTGGCCAAATATCTCTCATCCACACATGTAGCTCTCACTGCTACACTTGTAGAATCAACAAATTAAAAATGATCTGTCTTCCAACATGAGACAGGCTAAAGGCTATAAACGCATCTTATCCTGATCTACAGAAATTCAAGAAGAAACAAGAAGCAAAGTCACTGACGGTCAAAATCTCAAAAGGGTTTTAAAGCAAATCCCAAGGTTTTCAATTCTCAGTCAATCACAGTGTGAGCCAGTCTCCATGGCGATGAATCTGATCACCAACCACAGTTACTCCAAGAGTGCATCGACAACTCATCAGGCAGGTCACAAAACAACCAAGAACAACGTCTCAAGCTGCCCATGTAGGTCGTTGTTAGTGGTGTTAGTTTCAAAGCCCAACAAAAAGAGCCCAAAGGTCCTGCTGACATTTAGCAAAAACATATAATCAATCCAAGATTTTTGGAAAATATGTTCTGCGGACTAACAACACAAAGGTGGAATGTTTGATCAAGTTCTGCTTTTCCAAACTTTTGAAAGGTGGATTATGGTGGTGGTGGTGTGATTGTCTGGGTTTGGATGACTTCCTATAATTGATGGAACCAAGAAACCATGAACCATAATATCACTGTCTCACAAAACAAAAGCACTCATTGTCTAATGGATGTTCTAAAGGGTGACATGAGCAGCTTTTAGGTTAAAGGGGTAAATACTTTTTCCACATTGGGCACAGTTGGTTGGGTCAGCCTTTTTCCACCTAATCAATGATAAGGTGGAAAATCAACTGTGCTTTATTTGTACTAAGGTTGACTGCAATTTAAAACCATAGGTTATATTACCTGAAGCATTAAATGGAACAGGGCAGAGCACTGATCCTTACAATCAGATGCAAACAGAATCTATGTCTCCATCTATGTCTCGTGCTGAGTCATAATGGAGCTGATGTGATGGAAACAAGAACAAATGTTTTCTGCATTCCAAGCAAAAACTAAGTACACTTCCCCTTTTCTGAAAATAAACACCTGGCAGAAGTTGATTGGACAGAGAAATGGCAAATGTGTTTTCACAACTTTGTAGGCCGATCTGCTCTCAACTCGCCCATATGGAAGAGTTCAAAAAGTAAAGTATGAAGACTATACTCCATCACTCACCCACGCCTCAACGTCCTCAGGAGGTGCAAGATCATCCACAACTTTTACTTTCTTCCACAAGATGTTCTCTTTTCCATAGTTGTTGATCTTTTGCCGAGTCTTGAGGGCGAAGACGAGCATGATGATCAAAGCTGCGGTCACCAAGAAGCCGAACACAACGGCAATGGCCTGAAGTGGAACATAAACCACAGAGTGTGAGTTTATTACACACGCAGGACGCGTGTTACAGGATGGCGCCAATGTTGCGAGGGTTTACCTCTTGTGGTTCCACCACACAGTAGTGGTAAAGGTACTGGTTCTGAAACATTCCTGACACCTGTTGTTGTTGATATGGAGCACACAGAGCCGCAATCTGGCTGCCGTAAACTGTCGAGGTCTGGGATGAGGGGTTTATTGCCACCAAGTACACGATGGTGGCAATGAGCATCAACAGTGCCAGGATGGGACAGATGATCAACACGGCCAAGTAGAACTTCCTGCTCTGAGACAGGCTCTGATGAGACACGATGATGATAAAGACGACCAGGGAGAAGATGAAGACAAAGGTGGCCATTGCGATCATAAACCCTTTCCCGGAACGCGGGTCATTGTAGTTTCCCCCAATTGAACCGTAGCCATAATTGGTTCCAGCTCCATAGCTAGATCCTCCATACATTCCTCCAGATCCTCCATACATTCCTCCAAAGTTGGACATGGCCTGACTGTCATGCGCCAGTGTTGAGGCAACGCAGGCAAAGATGGCCACACACAGCACAAGGGTAATGATGGCCATGATTTTAAGGATTCCTGGAGGCGAGGACCAGCGATAGAAGTGCTGGAACTCATCGTCAGGGTAGTAAGAGTAGGCTGGTTGAGCAGGTCCATTACTGGAAGAGGAATAAACAAACCACTGTTACAACCCAAACTACAATGTTTAGATTTCATTAATAAGTGGACAGTGCTGAAAACAAATCTCAGAGATTTTGGAGCAGATTTCTTATTTGTTTTTGTTGTTGTTGTTGCAAGATTCTGGTTCTGATGTCTGTCTTACAAATAAGTTAATACAGTCATAACCATGAGATGAATTTTAAAAGCAGTAATACTTCTTCCTGTTTCTATCCGTTACAGTTCAAACAACAACAAAAAAAAATGCTTATCGAGTAATGGTGAGCAAAAAAATTAAAAATGCATTTGATCCAATATATTCAAAGAAGACACATTAATACACATATGGAAGAGGATTAGGACCACTGGGGGAAAAAATATTTCTTTAATCTCAAATTTGGACTTTTTTCAAAAAAATCTTCAATGACAGAGATGGGAGTTGTGCTGGAGGAGAACTACAACTTTATGGAGACAAATGTCAGGTATAAATGATTTTTTAAAATATTTATTTGGCATAGATCAGAGTAGAAACGGCCTTTACTCTCCAGTAAATGAGACATTCAGGTGGAACAGCAACACCAGGTATAAAGATTCACACAAAAAGTTCTTAAAAAGTGTTAAAAGCAATATAAAAAAGCAAGATTAGCAATAATAACAATAATAGTAAAAATTAAAACTGACAGTTAAATTGTGCTTCTTTTACTGCTACAACGTCAACAGTTTCATGAGGGTTTGATGAATATCGACAGAAAAACCCTAAATAAACAACAACAAAAACAAACAAACAACAACTTACTATCTATCATCCTCTTCATAGGGAGGGGGGCTCCCATTGGGTTTGGAGGACATCGCTGTTTGATCCACTAAACAGTGCCAATCAAAACAACCTGCAAGAAGTTTTCTGTTAGACTGGATATACCAAATCCATGTTATCAAACTCTGTTAAAGGTACAAATTATGCTATTATGTAAAAACATGTCACTTTTAATATTCATTTTAAAGTGAATCTGCGACCATCCACGCAACTTGGACGCGAAGAAAATGAAATAGAGAGCAAAAGAGACGCATGGCTATCAAAAATGCATATTTATGACATACCAATTACTTTTACATACATGTACTATAGCCAGACTAAATATTTCATGTCTAAACCTCGTGGCAGTTACTGAACAAAATTGTTTGTCTCTATCATTAAAGGTGTTTACAGTACCTTAATTGAATTGAAGCTGAATCGACCAAAACGCCGCTGGGCTTTTTACCACTGAATCCAAAGAGTTTTGAAGAACTGAGATCGTCTCTTTCCCTGTTGCTGTCAGGCTCGTCTCCTCTGAAATGTCTCTAGTGAAACCGCAGCAGCTGCTGAAAACAACCCGGGCCACACCTAGAGAGCTGCGCTCTCGGTTATCTTAGCTCTGCCCCTCCCGACAGGTGTTTCACTGAACTGAACCAGACCGGATGCTCATATTTGGAAATGCAAGGTGAGCGTAGTAACACAGACAGAACGGAATGTTTACCTGGTGTAGAGGCACCTATAGTACCTAGGACACTGTCATCTCTTTCCACCCGTTTCCTGTCTGGTTACTTTGAATAAACCCCATCACAAAATCTAAAACATAAAGCTTACTGAAGTAAGTGAACGTAAAACGATCATAGTGAACCATTTTCACTTAGTAACAATCAACAAGCTACCTCACTTGAAGTTGGCATCCGATTAACATCTTCCGAGTTGGCGCGTGACTAAAAGGCTATTCCGCTACTTTCAATTATTCTTTTTAATTTATTTAATTTTTATTTAATACGCTCTAAAATCTAAAACACTTACGGTCAAGCCGCAAATGTTTTTTTTTTAACTGTAACTTTATTATTATTGCGGACTAAATATTTAATTTCTAGATAAGTTAAATCTAGTGGTAGATCTATTACATAGACTACTCAGACACAGGATTATTTTATATATAAATAAAATATCGCAGAAAATACATATGGGTTTGTAAAATCTTTATCTGCCAAATAAAATACTGATTCTAAGGCGTTTTATGACCAAAGCCCTTTGTGATAATAAAGTAATGGTATAAACCTCAAGTCAAGTTTAATTGTTATTTTATAACAATTAAATTATGTTGTTTAAATGTTGCATATTTCAGCAACACTGCAGTTCAAAGTGCTTTACATGATAGAAATATAATACAGTAACCAATTAGGAAACAAGTGAGCATTTATCGTTTATCATAAATTTCTTATCATGTTAAGAATTTTGATTTATCGTTGCCGCGATAAATTCAATGTAATGTTTAGCCACTCAAAACTGTCTGCATTGTCAATATTGTTCGTTTTATTTTTCTTCTCCACTGTTTGAGTATCAATCAATATCAATACATTTGAAAATATGATTAAATGCAGTTACTGTGAGTAGTTAGTGATACAAAAGTCAAAGAACACACTCTGAACCGCAGTAATTACAATTTTATAATTAACGGACTTTCGGTTCCCTCAGATCAGAGATGGTAGAAGTATTTCATCTGTTGCCTACAGAAGGCACTGTAGAGTGTCTTTGAGCTCTGTGTGACGGTAAACATGGGAGGAAAGAGAGTCAACTCATATTTAGGTTGATGTGATAATGACACAGGCGAGCTGAGAGTTATCAATATAAGGTTTACCTTGACAACAATAAGTGCTTAAACAATTACATCTGAATTCCAATAATTTATACATTTATATTGGTAAGTATGCTATCAAATGGACTGCCTACAAATTACAGTGAGTAGCAAAATTAAGACTGAATATGAATGATATAAATATAAGTAAAATTTCCACCTAAGGAAAAAAATTCACTCTAACTTAAAAATATGTAAATGTTCAAAATTATATTTACACAAATAAAGCAACATCTACTATGATAGCATACTATTAAAATGAATATATTTACTAAAGGCTATAATAAATAACTAATATTTTTATCAATTAGCAAGACGTGCAGCATGGTTTGTATTTTTGATCATACAGGGCAATTTCTACTTTGACTTGCAGAATGTGAAATAATGTTTGCCTCCTTCCTAATTTACTATTTTTTTGCATGTTTGTCACACTTTGCTGTTTCAGAACATTAAACCAGTTTAAATGTATCAGTCAAAGAAAACGCAGGTAAACACAAAAGGAAGTTTTTAATTGAAGGTGTTTACTATTAAAGGGGAAACAAACTGTTCCCAATCAATACTTCACTTAAATGGGACTGGTCTGACAAAATGACTAAAGCTAGACATCAGAGATCCAAAGAAATTCAGGGACAAATGAGATAGAATGTAATTGGGATCTACCAGTCTGGAAAGGGCTTTAGTTTTAGTCCCTAAAGCTTTGGGGGTCCAGGTAATCACAGTGTTCAACACAGTGGTGAAACCTCCCAGGAGCAGCTGACCCATCAGAATTAACCCAACGGCAACGCGCTGACTCATTCAAGAGGTCACAGTAGACCCCACAACAACATCTGAAGAGCTGAAGGACCCACATGTCTGTCAAGTAAAGGGGAGTTTGGCCTCCCTCCCATGAGAAGTCCAGATTTAAAGAGTACTTTGTTGACAGAACAAAGTACTGTAAGGCTCTTCTCAATTTCCTAACAACACATCATGATGATCCTAGACTTCCGGGAAAACATTCTGTGGACTGACGAGACCAAAGCCGAACTCTTTGTAAGGTGTGTGTCACGTTACATCTGGTATGAAAGTAACACATTTCAGAAAAAGAACAGTAAAACATGGTGGTGGTAGTATGATGGTCCGGGGCCGTTTTGCTGCTTCAGGATAATAAATGGAACCTTGAATTCTGCCATCAACCAAACCATCTTCAAGGAGAACTGATGTGGCATAAACTTAAAAAGGCTGGAAAACCTTCCAGTGTGTCTGAATTAGAACAATCCTGCAAAAATGATTGAGCGGCTAAAATTTCTCCACAGCTGGAAAACACTTGTAACCCTTGACTGGAGTTGTTGCTGCTAAATGTGGTCCAACCAGTTAGTAGCTTTAGGGGGCAATCACTTTTTCACACAGAGCCACTGAGGTTTGGATTCTTTTTCTCTCCTCATAAACACCATTTAAAGCTGCAGTTAGCGCAGATCTCAGATAAATTACCTGAGCAAGCCCCAACTTGTCCTCTGAACGTTATACAGTAAAAAACAGCAGCTGAGAACTTAGATCAGAGTCTCACCACATAAATATTTAGGTTGTATATCAAGGCAGAATTGGAATTATTCTCTTAGTGCGTTGTGTATTCTTTTTGAAGCCATTTGAGTCGCCTCCGATTGGCCATTGCAGAAAACACAGGAGCTTTAACATTAGCCTTCAACATCCATGCCTTTTACAACCCATCCCAGTTTCTGTCTCATACAGGACACAAGATGATGTAAGCAAAGAGAGCCAACAAAAACATTTCCACTTGATTCCATTTGATTGATTGTTCTGCAACAGAAAAGCTGTTTTGAAACTACCAGTCATCTCAATTTACACAAGTCGGAAGAACGATCTTCTTAGCCAACCTAAAATGCTCAGGTTGCACATCATGCCACAACAATATTACTTAACAAATGTTATCTAAAATCCTCATGTGGTCTTAAGGTGGTGTTGCACTTTTACAAGGTTTTTTTTTCATGTTCATGTGGTTCCAGGAACTGACAGTCTGATGGGACAAGCCCCTACATCCCCGCTGTCCGACCGCGAGATCTGCTGTGCGTCTTCTGAGTGTCGTGCTAAGACCGCACACATTAAAGCTGCACCTATTTAAAATTTTGAATGGTCCTTTAAATAGAAATTAGATAGTTTTTCATTAATATTTGTCCATTATATTTATCCAAAAAAAACCCCAGCAGGATTGCATCTAAAGGCATCACGTGGTTACTTTAATTAGAGAACCGCACATTATCATTACATAGTTACATTTTCATTTAAACATTTAAAAAAGAAAACTATAGATGCTTAAAATGTTAAAAGAACAGAAATCTAGATAAGCAAGATATTTTTAAGTGAAAAACAACAAAACATTTATTATTATTCTATGAAATGGTAGAACAGCATTAGACATCAAACGTTCAATATACATATATATTTCTCATTAAAAGACAGAGCTGCATTAAAAAAGGGACAGTGTAGCAGTAAAAACAGTCCTCCCAGAAGTTAAAAGTTTTCAGGACTTTTTTTAAATAGACAACACAAACTCTGCCACAGAAATGAAGAGATAACCAGTGACAGTAATAAGGCAAACTTTTTTTTTTTTTAAAGATCTCAGTGATTCAGCGCAAACATTTTCACCTGACAGCAGTGCGTGTCGTGAAATTTTAAGGTTTGGCTACATTTGCAATCAGTCCTACAGTGTTTTATATATATCTATATAATTCATTGCATATTCAGACCACTTTTAAACAAAGAGCTTGTGGTTTTTCCTCACATTTGTTCACACCCAAGGACACGCACACACACAGTGCAGGGGTGGACTTTGAAACAAACCAATTCTTCCTATCAGAACTATTTCAGTTTATTATACCCTGAGAAAAGCTTTGCCTCAAAACAAGTCAGATTTCACAGCTGCAAAAAACAAAAACAAAACAACAATAAAAAACAAAACAAAAAAAAACACACCACCACATTTAAATTAAATGGTTTTTTCCCATAGATTTCTTTTTTTGGCCTTAGTATTCCTTATTTTTCTGCTCATTCTTTATTACCATTGAAATTTAACTTCAACATGGATTACAGGAAGGTTGAACTTACTACAATGAAGTTTATTGTGAACTTGGAAACATTGGTGGCCATTTTAGAAATCATAAGATGAGGATCTACTTTCTCTACTGTCCAAACTTTTTCCACTGGGGAACAAAATCACCAAGATAAAATTACTCATTGGCTATTATTTTATTATGTTTGTAATAAAAACATTTTATAGTGAATTCTTTAGTTTTTAACTGTTTAGGAATAAATCAAACTCGCAATTTTTAACTGAAATAGGGTAGAAAAGAAACCATCGGCGGTTTGAAATAGAGATGTTTTACGTAGTAAAAGAACGATGTACGGTTCACAAACTTTTTGGGTTGAATATTTTCTACTTTGTTGGTCTAAAAAAATATTTTAGTGTATTCCCAGCAAAAAAACAAAAAAAAACTTGCAGTATTTAGTCAAATTTAATATAAGGGATTCTTCTCACTGGTACTATCATGTTAAAATGTAAGCAATAAAAATGGCTAGCAAGAGATTTTTTTTATTTAAGAAGATATAAATTGGTCAATTTTTTTATTTTTAAGTGAAAAAAGGAATGAAATTTACAGAAAGTGTATCTCCATCAGCACTATATTATGCTGCATGACAAACTGAAGACAGCTGGTTAGTTATAATGGTAACCAAAAAAAAGTTTCCATACCAACTCTGTGATCATTTTAACTTTGCTTGAAAACATCTACCTGATTTGCAGTACTGTGACGTCACTTCTCTTCCCAGCACAAATAAATCATGTTTACTGTGGGAAGTCATAAAAAAATGTAATTGGAAGGCTGCTACATCTTCTCATATTGAACTTTGCTCATTGAAATTGTTAAAAAAAAAATTAAATGGGGAAAATCAAGTCCCGATCTCTCCTAATCTGAAATAAAGCAGACACTTTGGAGTGCTACCAGGCACAATATCATTAAATCTAATTTGAAGTCTTCACAGACACGCGGTGTGTAACTTTATGTGCGCTACAGTGTGGTGAAATGTATTTGAATAACTCAACGAGTTGACTGTAGTGAAGAAAAGCTCCGAGAAGTGCTGATGTGGAGATTTTGTTTACCGTTACTTGTAACCGTGGCGACCAGCTGCTTTGAGAAGGCTAACAGATCACCTGATCACATGAAAACCAATCTGATCATCTTCAGGATTGATGAAGCATGTTTGCCCTTTTCATTTCCCACAGACAACAGATTTATAAAAAAAAGCCTCAGTAGCTGTTAGCGTCCTTTTTCAGTTTTAATCGGGCTTCGTTTGCCTCTTTAGTCCCATCTTCACCACTGGAGTCGCTCTGCCGCAGACAGCAGCTCTAGCTTTAGCTGTATCCGTCGTTCCACTCCATGACTTTGTCGTATTCCTGTATCCTCTGTTTGATGTGCGACAGTTTGCTCTTCAGATACTCGCAACGCTCCTTCTTCTCCAGGAAAGTCGGGTCCTGCAACAGAAACGTGAGTCACAGGGAGATTAAGCTCCAGTTTCCTCCTCGTTTCTTCGTACAACCTTGCTCTGTGTGAGGATGGGAATCTGATACGTCTTCGTTCCCTGAGCTGCAGAACTTTGCTGTCCAGTTAAAATTCAAGCAGCAATCCACATTGTTCTGTTTTTTGTTTTTGTTTTTTTCATTTCAGAATGTAAAAATGTGGATTTTTACATTCTGGACCTGATGCTGGGCAAAACTTTAATCGCAATATGCTTTTTTGTTTCGGTCGATGCGATATAGCTCAGCGGCTTTAATGATCTCAGGGTCAAGTTTAAGACAAGTGAGTTGACTATCAAACATGAAATTTTAAAAAGATTTTTAAAAAACTTCCATCGTAGCTCTGTCACTTTGAGCAAACTACATATTCTGTGTGTGGGAATCTGAAGACTTCTTACACGTTTATCTGATTTATTTTGTTCACTTGTGTGTAAGGACATACACTTTTAAGAAGGGGCGGGAAAGTTACAGATGTTAAAAATGTATGATATGAGTTTATATTCCAGTCAAACATCACAGACTGGAGCTGTTCTGGAACCTTCACCTGATCTAGACATTTGATTTGGAGAACAACATTAATCTATGTGCAATGGATCTACAAAATGGGAGTTTCCACTTGCTTCACTACAGATAAAGTTGTGATAACCATCCAAACCCCACAGAGGAAGAAAGACACTGAGCTCACATTTTTCTTCTTCTGATACTCCTGCAGGATCCTGTTGATGCGCTCCACCTCCTGCAAACACAGAGGAAGAATTTATCTCAGGTGAGATGGTGACGGAGTGAAACTGTGTATGGAAATCAGGCGCAGTGAGACAGTATTCAAACAGCGGCCTGAATGGAGCCGATAAGGAATCTGAGGGTGGAGGTGGGGGGAGCAGGAAGAGGAAGTAAAAACAGAGGAAGTGACGGGACGGAGTAATGAGGCGCAGTTTGACAGCGCGGACAATGGAAGGAATTTTTCTGAACAAGCAGAGAGTTTGGTCTGCTCCTTTTACCAACACATAAACACAAAGCAGTCAGAATGAAGCTCACTGGATTACAGTAGATCAACACATTCCCCATTATTTACTGCATCAGTGCTGTGAAAACGTATTTCTTGTTTTCCTTTTTCTTTTAATCACTCCCTACTTCATTATATGGAAAGCAGTTTCATTCAAAATTGGATAAATAAATACATAAAAATTCTGTTATTAATTAATAAAACACTCAACTGAATAAATATATGTAGATGTCACGTGATCATTTAATTTAGTATTGGTAAAAAGTAATTTTAACTCCTGCTCTTCAGCAGAATTGTTTTAATTCAGGCATATTGGCGGGTATTCCAGCATGAACGGCCTATTTAAAGTCATGCCACAAAAAGTAAGGAGCCATGTTGCGAGAACTGTCCTTTTTCATAAAAATAGAAAAAACAATAACCCTAAGAGAGACCTGCAACATATGTGGGCCAGAAAAAGTCAACAAATAAAGGAACTACCTGCAGCAACAAGAAGTGTGAAAAGGTCAACATGCAGCAATTGTTTAGTACAACCTCTTTCTGCAGCTTCACACAAATTAACATGATAATAATAATTAAAAAAAACTTATATTTTATGAGTTCTGTAGTTTGTGCTGTTCTGGAAAAGTTTAAACGGTGAAGAATATAAAGTCTGAGGACTGCATGTGTGTGTGTGACCAGTCACCATTTGGGTGCTGGGGTTCTGAGGCAGACTGCGCATCATGGTGTCCATCTCATCAAACTTCTTCAGCGTGGCCTGCACGTCGGCGTGGAGCTCCTTGTACTCTGCGTACTGGTCGTTGAACACGGCTCGGTACTGGTCCCGCTCTTCATCGGACCGGATCACTGGGTACTTTCTGCAAATCAGCCAACATCAGGAACATTGAAAACATGAGTGTTTTCATAATCCCACTTCTTTTATTGTTTGTTCTCATAAAAATATGTGTTATACATCAATTTTAGCATCATGCTAATCCCGACTGTAGCGATTCAATTCTTAGGGTGTGGAGAAGTGTCAGTAAATATCCGGGTTTTCTACATCCAGGAGATCACTGAGCAGAACATTATGACCGTCTATCTCCCCTTTGGCTGCCATACAAACTCAACAACACCTCTTTCCGGCATTAGTATGAGAGCAACAGATGTTCTGAAAATGTTTGTCCAGCACATTCCACTTTTAGTAAATTGGACTTAGATCTAGAGAACTTAGAGGGAAAGTCAACACCTCAAACTTGTGCCCACCTCTTATTCCTGAACCCTTTTTGCATTATGGGAGGCTGCACTGTGCTGCAGACAACAGCTAATATCATTTCTGCCAAAGTGAGTATTTGCTTATGTAGGTGGTACATGTCAAAGAACACCCGTCCAGCTGTTTACACTTCTGGTGCAAACTCCACTACTTCCCTTTTCTTTTGTATTTACAGCAGTACTTACGCAAGATAATCAGGCACAATGACCGGCTTGGGGATATGACCCGACGGTATGGCTCCCTGAATGACCTTTGGAGGAAGTGGTTTGGGTGCAGCTTGGATGGGAACGACTGAGGAGCCTTGGACCTGTTCCGGGAATCTGGGGGCCGGAGCAGAATCTGGAACCGCCTGAGCAGAGAAAGGCAGCAAAATAAATGGGATTATAAAGACCAAACGCACATCAATTGTGTGTTGTTTTTAAATGAAGGTGTTAGTTTCTAACAGCGTACTTACAAGTGACTGCACAACATGCATATCAGAAGGCACCATCTAAATGCACAAACGGGGAAGAAAATTGTTTTTTCTCTCGCAACAAGCAAGTTTAACACTTCAAAAGTCAACATGTTGCATAGAACCACTGCAGTATCTAAAGATACACAATATCCAAAAATCTTGTGCCGACAATTTTCAGAATATATTGCAGCTATTAGCTTTGACTAGGCCATTGTAACACTGGCCCATTGTAAGGATATGCGTTGATCTAACTGACCTGTGTGTTTATGGTGACTGTTCAGCTAAATGTTGAACCTCTGCTACAGTCTCAGGTCATATGCAGACTCTAATGTTTTCTTCCTGGACTGCCCCATAATTAACTCCATCAAATTTTATCATACGACGGCTCATTAGGGCCACGGTAGGAAAAAAGCAAAGCAAAATGAAAAGGAGATTTCCACCAAAAAGCTTTGAGACTAGTCTGAAATTTTCTAGAAAAAAAAAAAAATCAAGGACACTTCTGAGTGTGAAAAGTAACAAATTTGCTAAAAAATTACATTTTCAGATTAATCTCAGAAATTTTCTAGGACATTTTCTGAGTTTCAAAAGCCCATTTTGACTTTTGACACTCAGAAATTTATTTTTTTTGGTTGTTTTTAGAAAATTTCTATGCCCAATCTAAAAATTTCTGTTATTTTCCTTGTTTTTTTTTTCCTAGAAAACAGCTGTATTTTTGGCAGAAAATTAATCCTTTTAATTTCTATCTACAGTGGCCCTATTACGCCATTCTGCTAATGGCCCCTTTCAAATTTTAACTTGGAGCAATAAAAGTTGCAATAAAATAAAAGCAACATTGTCCTGACATTTACCAGCAAGTATAAACGTATATATTTATCTGCAATCCTGCAACACTGCAATGTTGCAGCATTGCAGTGGTCGCTTACAAAAGATGGTTGTAAACATCTCTTAAATAGATGTTTACAACTGGTTTGGTCTGTAGGTCAGACCAAACCAGGAAATTAAACCAATTGTCTGGTTTGAATGGTCTACATTTTATACAGAAATGCTAATAAAGTAAAAAATAATAAATACATGTTTGCTTTTTAGAGAAATAACAGTTTAAGTCAATCATAAGATTTCTGGAATCCCAGGAGACTTCAGACACTGTTTTAGTTTCCTTATCTGTTACACAGACCACACCTACTCATTCGCCTACAGTGGTGTGTGTGTGTGTGTGCGCGCATGTGTGTGTGTGCATGTGTGTGTGTGTGTGTGTGTACATTCTGTGATTAGATATGTCCTAACATCTCTGCAGATCTTGTTGAAATGAACTTCCACTAATAACAGGAACTACTCAGTAATTCCAGGAATCCCAGAACCAAGCCCAGCTACAGGAACAAACATACACACACACACACACACCTGGCTGAGCTCTCACCTGCTGGCCGTACTGCTCCTGGTACCTGCGGGCGGCCTCGTGCCTCCACAGCTTGAGACAAACGATGGCCCCAATCAGATACACGACCATGGTGACAAAGAGGAAGATGATGGCGGCGGTCTGACCGGCTTCTACTCTGCAGAAGGCCCCGTTTATTGGGTTGTTGAAGCCCGGGTTGGAGCAGAGACCTCCACGATTGGTATCTGTGACATAGACGATGGCTGGGAAAGAAAACACGGTGGAGGTGTCATCATGACAGAAACTGGGGGGAAAATAAAGGTGCAGTTCCTCTAAAAGTAACAGGTTTATCCACAAACAGCTCTGCAGATCTGGGACTATTAGTTCATCTTTGGAGGAGTCTGATGAGGTAACCTCGAGTACAAGTTAGGGTCAGGACTTTAACTCTAATTTCCCTTAATTAGATACATTTTATCATTTACACAACGGAACACACCACACTTTAACTGGGAAATATTTTAAATGTCTAAAATAAAACACAACTGAAAACAATTAATAAAAACACAACGAAACCAGGAAAAAAATTAATTACTTTGGATTAAATGGAAAGTGCCCCTTCAAAAATATTAATCGTCAGAATGGAAATTATTTATCTTATTTTAACTTATAATGCGATTAATTAACGTTGTCTCTATATTTAGCAACTTTTCAGACAGATTGGCCAGAAAACTGCAATTGGTGCACCACTAATCAAAATAAAATCAGTTTAAAGGACTGACTAAAATCAAACTAAAAAACAATCATGGTTCCAGAATTCACTTCTATTAAGAACAAAAAACATTTAATTAAATAAAAATAAAAATAAAAACACTAGACGTGTTACCCAGGTTAAACCTACCTGCCGCCATGTACAGTATGGCCAGAGCCAGGTTTAACACAAACTCGGTCAGAGGCCACCAGTTGGAGTCCAGCAGGATGGTGCGGTAGTACATGGTCATCCCCAGCACCAGCAGGATTACAGTCACCAGCCAGGCCAGTCCCGCCACCACCAGAACAAACGGAGTCTTGGGCCCGGAGTAGTACGATCCGCCATACATTCCTCCATATCCTCCTCCGTACCCTCCTCCAGGAGAAGAGTAGCCGAACATGTTGAACCACTCATTGTCTTTGTGAATGTAAGCGCAGACGCAGGCGAACACAGCGGCCCCCAGCAGCAGCTCCACGCAGCCCAGGATCCTCAGTAGCCCCGCCCACGACTTCATGTAGCCATAACGCTGGTGGTACTCCTCCACCCGCTCGCTGTAGGTCAGAGCTGTGTGCTGTGTGCGGCCCGACACTGACCCATGGGTGTCCTGTCCGTTTAGAAGCTCCTTGGCGGAGTTGTAGCTGCTCCCGGAGCCGCCGTACGGGTCCCGGTAGGATCCGGGGAGGGACGGGGAGTGTGGTGGGGAGCAACGCACCCCCTCTGTGGTGCTGTTGTTGTTGTTGCTGGAGGACTCGGGCATGGACCACGCCTTCTTGCTGCTGCGGTTGCTCCCTCGGAAGAAGTTCTTCCAGGAGTCGGGGATGAACCGGTGGACTGGCTTGATGTCGATGGCGGGGTCCGCCTCAGGGTCGGTGTCCTGCTCGCTGTTGCTGGGGTCGAACTCGGGGCCAACGGGGGGCTGGTCCGGCAGAGGCGGAGGAGGGAGAGGGTCGGCGCTCTTGGCCAGATGGGGGGAACTCTGCTCCCTCAGGGGCTGCAGGTCGTACGACTCGGCCAGGGGTAAGGTCTCATGGGGAACCTGGTCATAAAACGGCGACTGGCGGACACGCTCAGTGCGTCCGTGGTAACCTCCTCCATAGGACATGAGGATGCTGATGGTCCCTGGAAACATCCACATAAAATGAAGAGGTTGTGCTGAAAATTTTTTATGACACAAACTACAGTTCAGCTACATGGACTGAACATTTTATCACAATATTTTGGGGTACTATTGTGATAACGATAATAGTGACAATAAGATAAATATTTTTTAGGTAACCATATGGCCCAGCAACCCCTTCAGGAAACCAGTCACATAAAAACTGATTTGTATCACTAAAATGTGCATCGTATTTTCAAATGTATTTATATCAACTTGTACGCCTTTATTGAGCAAATAGTGGAGAATGTTAGTAAAATGAACAATCCCAACAGTACAGACAGTCAAACATAATTAATTGGAATTTATTGGGACAATAATGAATCAAAATTGTATTGTGATAAGAAATTTATCACGTTAAATGAGAAACGATATGATAAATGCCTACATCTCCTACAAACACAAAATTAGTTCAGTTCAACGTTCAGTTGTTATTTTTAAGAGATTTTTGGAGAAAAGTTACTGGTTTTATTCTTACTATGAACGTCTTTATTTAGGTTTTAGTTTGTTTACCACTGTCAGTTTCAGTGTGGTCTCCTCTGTTTTCCTCTTTCCAGTCATTCTGTCATTTGCATAGAATTTGTTTTTTGCATGTTTGTCTCTCTGTGTACTAAGACAAAAGAGAATATAATACAGAGAAAGTCTGTTGGCATCTCTGATAAAAACTTTACAATAAGAAATTATTTTACTTATTCAATTGAAAAACTACTTATCTCAAAGGGAAATTACATGTCTTATCTAATCTCATCTTCAAAGATTTGTGATTGATGGTGATGCTCTGGGCTCTCCAGCAGCAGTCAGTCCTACAACGAGTCTGAAGAGGCCTCTGACTGAAGACAGCTGCTGTATGAAACTAACGGCTCAATATCAGGGCATCAGAGACGATATTTCACAGCAACATGTCCTGTATCATCATAGGACAGTCAGTTGTTGTCAAGCTGCTAATCCATCTAATTTGCTTTTGCTGCTCCTTTTTAAATCTCTGTCTGGTGAGACGTTTGTCTTTGTAATTATCACTTGTCATGTTACTTGCTTCTGCTTGAGGAAGTTTTAAGCCTTTTTGATTGTGATAACTCTGATGAAGACTAACTCCAAAAACTGTCAGTATGATCGAAATTGTTATGTTTCAAGCTAATTTCCTCCTTACATCATCAATAATCACTATATGTATTTTAAAGTAGGATTGAATGAAATTATTACATATTGTTTAGCAGTGGAGTTCCACTACTGAATGCAGCTGACGTAGTGAAGAAGATTTTATTTTATAATATGGAAGCATTATTTTTTATGCAGTTTGTTTTTGTGAAGCCCTTGAAGAATGCACTAACATTTGTAGTAATTTTTAAATATTTTTTATCATCATTATCATCATCACAATAATCAGAAACAGAATTCATTTTTATATATTATTAATAAATACCTTTAAGTTATTATGTCACAATAAGCAATTAATCAATAACATGATAAGTTGAAATGAGCTCAATAATTTTCACTTTGATTAATATTTTTTGAAGAGCAATTTTGATTACAGAGAATTGATAAGCCATTTCATTTATGCTTTCAGTAATGTGTGTGCTTGATTCCGTTTTATTAATTGTTTTTGGTTGTGTTTTATTTTGGATATTGAAAATATCTTACAGCTTCATCGTAAGTGTTCTTTACAAAATTAATGATTATTGGTCTTTGAGAGAGCAAATTTGCATCATTAAGCCATTATCAATACATCAGTTTAAAATGGTCCCATAATAACGATATTATTGTTTATCACAATAATTCCTGGAAAAAATTGTTGTCCAACAAAATCTGTTATGGTGACAGGACAAGCTGTAAGTCTCGTCCCTATTAGTGTATTTATCTACTGACGTAAAAGATTTAACAACTGAAACTAATATTGCAACAGGACAGGCAAATAAGTAGGAAATATGAGAAGAAGAAACCACCAGACTAAATGCCAATCATTCTTGCAGTAACTATGGAGTAATCAACACAGCTGCTAAGAGTCACCACAGAAAACACCCTTCAGCCAAAAGCCCTCATGAGTGAAGATTTGTCCCTCCATGCAAGCTGGGGCAAGAATAAATTTTTGTGCTGCAGCTAAATAAAAAGGAATTAATTCCCACGGTGCTGTTGGAATTGCCGCGCATCGTTTCCAGGAATGTTGCACTTACCGCCTGCTTCAGGAATCAGCACAAAAATACATTCTATACAACCAATCAGACGAGTCCGGAGTATGAAGAGGGTTAAAAAAAAACAAACCAAAGAAGGAGCTTCAATACCTCTTTCACACGCAGTCACTCAACACGACTTACATTGGCTTGCAGGTCAGTATGCAAACCTTGTATGAACGCAGAATCACCTGTAGAGACAAACAAGCACTAATGAAGACAGGAAAAACAAACACTGAAACATCTGTCCTTCTGATTCACTTCGATGTTCATTATCCAGGTCAGTCATCTACACATGATGACTATTTGCTTTGGTTCAAACCAAGCATGACTGTACAAAAGGGCATGATTGCACATGGGATTTCTTATGCACCCTAAATGCAACACAGGTGTGCAGCTCGATAGCCTCAATGTGTGGTAATTCATAATATCAGACTTTAAGTTTAGTCAGAAGTAAGATGCCGGTTTATTTAGCTGTATAGTGTATTTAAGTACAACTTTGCTTCATCTCTATGTTTATGTTGTAAGTGTGGTTCTAATTAGCTTGTAATATTCTGCTTTGTTTACAGAAACCACACGCACACACCCACCCACATGTATGCACATTCTGGCGACTTTCTACATAAAGAGAGTGAACTTGAATTGGACTCCCCGTGATCTGTTCTGGTCGGACACTCTGAAGCGATCGCTGCCAGCTCAGGTCTAAAGTCTTCTCAACAATGACACTGAGGATTTAAGTACCGTAGTTGCTTCAGAAAATGCTGATCAATAAAATGAATTGATTGACTGCTGTTTGGATAAAAACGACTTGTGACGTCACAGGAGTAAATCATTTGAAGATGATGAAAAGGAAACAGTGACTGAAATTATCCCACGATAACCAAAGTATGCAGAATAGTATTTTTTTTTCTTTTAACATACTGAACCTTGAAGCAAATGGGGTACAGTCAACTCCAGGAACCACAGCAGTCTTCTAAAAAAAAAAAAAAAAAAAAAGAAAAAAAAAACAATCCAAAAACAAGTTTTTCAAAACCGGATTGAAACAATTTTTTCCACTTCCCACACCAATGCAGATAATTTCCGAGGTTTAGTATCAGCCGATATCGATCTGATACAGAAAAAACATGTAAAAACAACTTTAATTTGTTCAGTCAGTGCAGTTAGGAGTAGAACAGACAATGTTAAATAAATAGTAAAGAATCTGAGCCTGACGAAAACAATAAGTGGACGAACTCAGGCAAACATGTAAAAACATCCATTCAAATGATTCAGAAAGTGCAAATAAGAGTTTTAAATAAAATGTAAAATAAGCAATAAAGCATGGAATTGGACTGAATTCTATGCTTATTAATAAGCACAGAATTATGCTTATTAATGATTAAGTAATATCGGACAGTGCATCTCTGAAACACTAGATGAACAATATGACCACATATTGTCATTCCATAATATCAACAGGAGACATCGAGATCCAAAGGGCGTTAAAATGACTTCAACAGCAAATAAGCTGTGGTTGAAACATTTTACAATTCTTTATGACAACTACCCACTTCAAAAATGGTTAGTGTCACAGGCAGAAGCATAGTCTGTTACAAATCAATGTTGCAATATGTTTATATAATTAATTTCATTTACCGTAGAAGTCGGACATGATTCCACTGATCTAACCACGTTCCTGTCGCAAATCAGAAAACCAGTGTGTTTTGCTAATATGGTCAGGCTAACTATTGTTACTTATTTCAAGTGGATTTTTCAGCATTTTATACCTATAAAATATCTGTGCACTTGCTCACACACAAGAAAAGTTATTTTCAAGCAAAAACCTTTTCTAACACATCTGTTCTCACACTAAGCTTTCAATGGATCTTTGCTGCTGTTTTTTTTTTTCATTAGAAAATATTTTAATTTGTCTAAAAGCTGAATTTTGGGCTTTCATTAAATGTATTATCATCAACATAACAAAAGTAAATAAAAACGTTAAATTTATAACTATCTATAGGAGTTTTACCTTTTCAACTGGCTTCCTAACTTTGAATTGATATTACAACCTGTATTTATCAGAAATATATATAGTCTTCTTTAAAATGTTGTTTATAACTTTAAAATATGATCATATGCCAAACTTAAGTTTTCAAGCTTTTTTTCCCCTTTAACTTCTTAAAATAATAAAAATATTTTTAATAATAGGTATTAGTAGAAATGAAGTTTAGTTCATGGTGGATTTTTTTCTTCCAAGCAAATAGAATAAAAATATACCAAAACTTCCAAACTTATCCCAACAACACAAAGCAGAAAAAGCCCAGCATGCTTCTGTTTCCAGAATAATCAGAGCACTGTGTGCAGTAGAGGAGGCCTGTGATAACAAATAAACCTAAGGAGGCAGCGGCTGAAACTCTGCAGGAGTAAAAGGTCGGCGAGAGCCTGTCTTAGCTGCATTTTTTTAACTCATGACGTATTTAATGTCTGTTTCCTTGTGTAAAAAGCGTTACATTTTAACTTCGGCTAATTTTATAGCTTTTATCCGGTAAAAAGGGCGGCGAAGGAGTGAATTTCACTCGAAGTGGCCGCGAATTAACGCAGCGTCATTTTTACAGCTGACTTTTTAACTTTTAATAGTCCTTAAAAAAGCCTCTTTGTTTGTGTCCTCTCCTCCGTACCACCGAAACGATGCTGGAAAGAAAGTCTCTTACCTTATTCACTTTGCTTCGTTCCCCACTTCTTGTTTCTCCCATTTCAGTAACATTAAACCGCAGGTTTCTCTGTACTGGACCATGTGACCCGCCCATCCCTTTGACGTCACCGCGCAGAGGGGGAAGTTTACCTGTGGCAGAGTTTCAGCATAACACCTGAGAGCCGCACACACTCACTGTGTGACTCAGTCAGCTGTAAATAAGCACCTGAATAAAATGTTCCCATATCTGAGCCACAGTAAGAGCTCATACAATGTGCCGTCATAAATACAAATGAGACGGAGGAATACACGAAACCCATTTTCTAAAGACTTTCTGTTTGTCGTCCTTCCAAAAAAATCCAAATTTGTAAGATGCAGACCTATAGTAGATACCCTGTCAAAAAGATTGTGGTTTAAATATTAATTGATCAGATTAATAGGTATGTTAAAATTATTTTTTGTGGTAAAATTTAAGAACCATAATATGTCATTTTGTACATTTCAAAACAAATACATCAAAAGGTAAGAGTGAGAGAATAAAGGCAGTTTCTTATATAAAGACAAAATGTTACCTAATTGTGTAATATTCTCTGTATGCAAACTTCATACTATCAGAAATGATAGTCAAAAGTAATTGATAAAGAAATTGGGAACTTAACATCATTCCACAAAATTTTATAAGTTTTTTCTGAAGGCAGTCAGGGACACAAAGTTGACTAAAAAGTAAATCGCGAGTCAAAAATTAGTGAGAAGGGTGGAACCACGTGGCTGAGGAAATCCATCACATAAAGAAGCACCAGTTCTCAACGCAGCCGTCCCAGGGGTTCGATTCCCAGTCCTCCACTTCTCCTTGTCAAACTACTAACGAATAGAGGCCACTATAGTGCCCCCCCCCCCAAAAAAAAAGAAGGGCCACACTGCAGTGAAAATTTTCACATTTATTGCGGAAATAACTACAGTTTTAGAAAGCAGACCATCTAAAAGGTGCAATGATACATAAATATACTGAGCAAAACAAACACACTCACGTCTGCATAGAAATCTTCATAAGGACATTTATTAATGCATTTCAGACATAATATCTTAAAGCTGCGAATCTTATTGCATCTTTTGGTGTGGCATGTAGATGTAGATAATGCCATCAGAATGAGGTCAATAACATGTTTTGGAGTGTGAAAAAACACAAATCAGTCTAAAAGCTTTCAAGCTTTCTATCTGACCCTGATCTGAGAAAGACGCCTTAAAGATCGTCCCTCTAAACACCCTAAAACTCCACTGGTCCTCATGAAGATACCTTTACAGACAGACACACACACACGCACGCACACACACACACACACACACACACACACAAACAGTAGACATGATGAATTTCCTTTACATCTCAAAAACATCTCTCTGATAACAGCAGAGGTGAACACTTCAGGTTGATTTGCAAACACAACAGCAGCAGGAAGACAGCTGCAGAAGTAGACACACAAGCGCACACGCACACACACACACACACACGGCAATGTAACAGAGGGAGATACAATACAACACTCAGACGAAGCGTCAGTACACAGAAATATATTGCATAAATTGAGTCTTTTTCTTCTCAAGTGTTACTACAGCTTTTTCTACCGAGGGTAGGATAAATGGCTTGTATCAGGTAATATCATCTTGAGCTCAGTCTTCAAGAGGCTTGATTTAAATGTAAAGACACATAATGAGATATAAGGAATGTTTCAAAACAGCAAGCACTGATTCTGACTAACTTCACTGGACACGAAATAAATGTAAAGACAGACCCTGAAAAACTGAGTCATTAAGGGAAAAGGAGAAAAAAAAAGACATTTAGGGATTACTGAAAAAGAAATCTAAGGGAATATAACATTAAAATTTCCGAAATTTAAGAGGGTAAACCTGAAAGAAAAGAAAAAAGTTGCAAAAATGCTCACTCTTTCTACAATTAGAACTTGTGCTTTTTCATCTGTTCTGTATTTTGCAGCTGTATTTTTAATGCAGGCTCAGTATTTTTCTGTAGACGGAAGAAAAACAGCTTTAACATGACAGCTAATGGAACATGATTGTTTCAGGAAATGTGTTTGGACATCCCGATTTAGCGTATGTGGTACATTTGCAGCTCTTTATTTTCCAAATTATGTTATGCCCTTTAGAGAGAGTTGTTACATAGTAATGCAGGAGATAGTCAATGACTTTGTAACGGCATAAACTTGTAACAATATGCATTTAAAAAAACTTTAAACATTTGCTATATTTGTCATGTTGAATACTGTATGAGAAGCATCTGTAAATCCATAAATATTTCTTTCTGATCATTCCAAACTTCAGTTTTTATTTGCCATAATATATGTTGATCAGGCTAAAATCAAAGGGACTCATTGCATGTAGTTATTTAAAAACATGTCAAACATGTTTGAAATAAGCTTGGACCCTTTTCATTTTAAAACGGGGCTGTGATAAATCCAGTTTCGTTTTTTGGCTTGTTTCCATGAGGCAGCGCCACCTGCTGCTTATGTAATAAGCATCAGCGTACTAGGAGGAAATGCATCTTTGCATTTCACATTACTGACTTTTCCAAGTATGGATAAGGATCTGCAAAGCCATGATTTTGTCCTTGTCTGAGGTGGTTTATGTTGGGCAACTTGTCTCTTTTTCCAACTTCCAACTTAAAAGTTTCATAACTTTTAAACATCATTGTTTTTGCTTCAGGTAGAAAAGATGAAAAAATGTTTAGTTGAAGAAACTCTGAACTGTTGCTGGAACATTATTGTTATTTTACCTGTTAATGCTTTTTGATAGTATTCTTGAAATAATAATAAAAAAAAGCTCTCGCCCAGAGTATTACTCCTGTTGTCAATGTCCACTAACTCAGTGTGACTATTTCACCCATTTCTTATGACATTTCACTAGTGACCTCAGATTTATAATGATGTATTTAGGAATACAATGTTAATAATAATAATACACTTGATGTAAAGTGGCGTATTTCTGATGACCACTGTGACCGGTGCTCTGAACCTACATCTTAGTGGAACTAATGCTAAAATTGTAAGTTTACGTTTCATAGCGATGCCTCTGTCAAAACACNGACAGCACATTTCCCTGCTATTTTCCAAAAACAAACAAAAAAAGAAAACAGTCATAATTGGAATCGGTATTGGCCGGGAAACGTCTGATCGGTGCATCTCTAATACTCAGTCTTTGAGAATTTGCGATAATATTAGTAACGTTACAATGTGTCTCACACAGAAAGGTAAAACAATTCACTCTTGAGTGTATTAGTGCCGCTGTTTTTCTTAATGCCAGTACTCTACAGACATTTCATACCTAAAAAATTACATCCACCAAATCTGCAACATCCGGGCTAAAAACATTTTGGAAAGTGGAAGTAGCAGCAGAGCCCTGTAAATTCAAGTTATGGGTTGGTAAGTTCCTGTAGTGGAAAACTGCCTTTTTGTAATGGGTGTCCATCAACACTGACATCAAAACGTGCGACACGAGGACGAGGGTCACTGTAAAACCCTGGTGAACGTAAATGTTAACATCTAACTACGACTGAAAAAGCTGCCTGTGTGACTCTACAGTAAATATTCTACAGTACACACTACTGTAAAATCACAGCTTATTGTCTTAATACCTTTAACTGACTACAGATTACTTTTAGAATAAATGTGGACCGACTCTTGTAATGATATATATGTATATATATATTTTACCTATATAACAACTTCAATTCATGTTCTTCTAAGTCTACAATACTATCTGGATTGTTTTCATCTCTAAGGAATCTACTGATCTATTGCTGATCTATAAAGTGCATTAAAGTGGGTAACAGCACAGCAACACTATGACAACAACAGAGGTTCCTGCTTTGACGAGCAGAAACCGAATCCCTTTTTGACCTCATTCTCCAAGTGTAAATCTTTAGTGTTTGCTGGTAAACTAACAAAAAACATAGCATCAAGACAAAAGTTAAAGGGTAATCAGATCCCTGTCGAGAAATTCTCTAAAACATACATGGATATTATTATAAAATCATAGTATGCAGAGTGAAACTGGAGGGTTAAAGTGCCCAGTTGCTGTCTGGTCAGGTCCTCGGTAATGATCGTCCTACAGATGCTGCTGTGGATTCAGTCAGGGGGAGCGGAGTTCTGCTGGACGGCCTTCAGTAAGGAATCTGGTTCTGGTAGTACTGCAGCATGTCATACGTTTTGCTCCTGTTCAAAAGAAACAACAGACAACAGATGGTAATCCATAAGGGGAGTTTCATGTTGGTTGTCATTGTAATGAACGGGACAGACAACGTTCTGGGGTATCTGCAGGTTTCAGCAAGTCAAATTTAAGACTTAAATTTCTGACACTACTGATGTTTTTCTCACCTGCTACTGAGGAAACAACTCTGGATGACTTTTATCATGAATGCTGCTGCTTCTTTCTCACTCATCTGCGGATTAAAACGTCCCCTGAAAAAGAAAGAAATGAATTATGGAATAATAACACACAAAATCTCTAAAAGTTCTGACCTGCAACACAAAGAATTTGCATCTATGTGAGTTTTACTAACTTAAGAAGTTTGATGGTTTGTCCTCTGAAACATGGCAGCCCCGTGTCCAGCATGAGGGTCACCAGGGAAACCACTGCATCCATGTAAGGCCTGTGAAGATAGAAAAAAAACAAAATGAAAAAGGAACAAAAGGTCAACATCTGCAACAAAACCCAGCTGACAGAATAAAAACAACTTATTAGCGTGTAAATTAGTGAGTGTAAATCTGGATGTTTCTTACCGCACAGCCAGATACCCTCTGACACACATCTCCATGAACCATTTGAAAGGCGTAGCCTCCATTTTTCCTCCCATGATCATCACCATCTCGTCCGTCAGCTTGATGTCTGGCTCCCAGCCCAGGTTACCGCCTGGGGAGCTCTCAAACATAAATCCGAAATCTGGATAAAACAAAATAATTTATCCAAAATCACTTTTAAAAAATGACCTTCAAATGTGACAAATTATTCTGTTGGTCCATGAAAGCTCATCTACACAGAGCGCAAGATTATTGTTCATAAATAGGAGTTTCACAGGAAGCAGCTTCCGTACCAATGTGGATAAGGTGACCCTTGCTGTCCAACATGATGTTGCCGTTGTGTCTGTCTTTGATCTGCAGCAGGAACAACAGGAGGCTGTAGGCGGCCATACTGCGGATGAAGTTGTACCGAGCCTGTAGGAAAAGAGGAGAGGAGTTAAATAAAAGAGGAAAAACAAACAGGACAATAATCAAAACAAAGTCAGATATTTCAAACTCCAGACCTTCTGGAAGGCCAGAGTGGATTCATCGCCGTACTGGTTACGGAAATAATCGTACATCCCAAAGTCTGTCTGGCGACCGAGCTGGTCCCTGGATTTGCAGTCTGGGATGCATTCGATTACACCGCACTGAGGAAAGGAGCATCAGTCCAAATCAATCAAGTTCTCTAAACTTAACTAGAATTCAGCAGCATGAACAATGGAGACGTTCAACGTTTAGAAATAAAGACGGCAGTCTATGCTTTGACTACATCTCATAAATACTGTTCCAACTCAGACAAACAGGAGATCAAAGTCACTGAATCTGAAATGCCAAAAATAACAGATAAATATTTGGTACGGATGAACCGATTTCAAAATTTGGATCGATATCGAACATTAATATTAGCGCTGGGTATCGAATCAGATTTACACTGTGCTGATGTTAAGTCAAACAGAAAGGGCTGAGCTTTTCACATATTGGTGTTTTTGCATTTAAGGTAATAAAGTGTGCATTTTCTCATGTAAAAGTGGAACTGAATTATTTGTTCATCTATATCATTTAATGTTCTAATATTATTGCATGAAATAGGCTTAAATGGTTAAATATAAAATCTGCAGAATGTATCGATTTTTTTTATCTGATTAACTGATAAATTGTTGGAATAATTGATAGAATAAATCGATTACTAACATAATTGTTAGTTACAAAAATAAAGAGAGGTCTTGAAAGAATAGTTTCAGAAAGTGCATTACCCCTGGCGCCGTGGCAACCACTCTGTACGGAAAGACAAACAGGTCCAGACCCACCAGCTGGAAGATGTTCTTAAACAGCCCAATAATCTGCAGAGCCAGCATGTCCTGGAGGACGGAGAGCATCACAGAACGGTCAATAAAAATTCAGCCACTGCTGATAGTCTGGAGATGTACGCATTCAGCTGAACAGACAGTCGTACCTGTCTGCAGTCATCTCCCACTTTAAAGATGGCCGCCTGCCAACAAACCCTGCGTGATCCGTCTGGATTGTCCTCTCCGTCTTCCACGGAGTCGGATGGACAGCGGAGACCCTCCCTCTCCAGTTCGCTCACCCCGCAGCGCTTCACCTTAAACTTGGCCAGATAGGGAGCTTTGGCAGCGCTGAAAACACACACATGCACACACACACTTATGAAATACACACAGGAAGCCATGGGGGTAATGAAAACATATTCTGCAACATAAGATATAGTTACCTCTGCATGGGGGTTCCAGACTTGTAGTCGATGTCCAGCACTATGGCTTCTGGATTACTGGGTAGGTAACAACCTGGAAGATGTAAAGAAGATGGATAACTCAGGTTTCTATGTTCTCATGTTTATTTCTATTGCTGCAGTGAGAGGCAGTTCATTTTCCATCCCTACTGGGCATGTTGTGTGAGGTTTGGTTATTTTTTTTATTACTTGTTAAAAGTTTTCTGGATAAAATACACACTGGATATTTTAGAAGAGACAAGTTGGAAGAAGAAAAGAAGCTTGTTGGATAAAGTAAAAGCAAAGGGTGCAAAGGCTTTCCAATGTAAAACATTGGTTTTGCAGACTGAAAACCAAAGTCAGACTAATTCGGTGTCGGTCATTTTGACTGACAAAAAGAAATCCAGTCAGAATCTATTTTTACCCAGCAACTTTTAAAATGAAATTAATGACATATTGAATTACATTTAATTTTGATTTGGTTTAATTAACATTCAACAAGCTGAAGAGAGCATCCACATAGTGCCATCACACAAGAAGCAAGTTTTTCTCTGGACTTCAAATATCCAAAATAAATAAAAAAAACAATATTATTAATAAAATGTAAAAAAAATTGTCCTTCAGAAAAGAGGCTGGTTGAGACCAATGAACCAAACTGAATCATACAAACAGAAATTACCGAGCTTGTTTTAACTTATGTGATAAACTGACTTTCTGCAACAGGCTTAAACCTACTTATAAGCCTTAAAGGGGCAGTAGCATGTACTGGAAACTGCAGCTCTAAGGAGGAGCTTCAAATTGAAGGCGGGGCTAGATCCAGTCAGGCATTTTGCACAGCTGAATGGTTGCCAAGGGAGATTAAAGGGTTTCTCAAACATGCATGAAAGAATGAAGGCAACTCTCCAGCTTTGTCTTTGATGAAGGAATAACATTACAACATGGTGTAAAACTCACGAAAGTCAATTTTACATCATACTGCCTCTTTAAATGGAAATTTTTTTCATGGTTTCAGACATAATATTTCTTTGAAATCAGAAACAAAGTTTTGGATCCATCCCAGAGAGCCTGTAGGCGATAGCAGGTTACCTGGCTGCACTTTGATGTCCGACAGCGCTTTGAGACAAGCTCGTTTTCTCTCCTCTCCCTTCGGAACCGGCCTGAAAACAAAAAACACAAACAAAACAGATTCATCTTAGCTTCTCAAACCATTTTTTATCTTGGCAATTTGACAGCGAAGAGGTTCGGCTGCTCTTACTTGATGATGGCGGACACGTTGGTGATCTTATTAAAGAAGTCAAACTCTCTTTGGTAGAAGTCTTTGGCCGGACCGGATAGAGAACCCATGATCTCCTCCACCATCTGCTCCAGCAGCTCCCCGATGTCGGCTACACGGAGAAATGCGTCAACAAAAAAGCCACGGCATGACTCCTACAGTCTGCTCCGGGTTGACGATGTGACTCACGATCTTTCTGGTGTCCCTCCTCATCCATGAAGATGTTGGTCTTCATGTTCCAGATGAACTGATGAGCGAGAAGCTGAGACTTCTGCGCCGCCCACAGGATGTACTCCCTCACGTAACCCATCTGAACGGAGAGAACGGCTCATACCCATGTCTTTCCACGATGGTTGAGAAGGTATTTAACCATGTTTACCTTGTCATAGCGAAGCGCTTGCACAATCTGAGGAATGTAGAACAAGATGGCGTCCTACGGAGATAAACAAAATGTTTTGCTGTAAAAAAAAAGAAAAAAAGAAGGACCTTTTTCTACTTTTCTAGAGTCCACAGATGCGTGACCTACCGGAGGAAAGGAGCGCAGCACTTTAACTCCATACTGTGCAGTGAGAGGATGAGGAGGGTACATGCTGCTGAAGTAGGACAGACCCGTGGGCGGGTCAGCCGGAGCCCAACACAAGATGTGGCTCAGCTCAGGGGAGTCGGCGTCGATGGTGTGCCAGGTCACCAGGAACTGACGACGGACAGTGAGGAAAACATCCACGTTTTAAAACGCTGACGTTTAATTTTCCCGATCTAGACTCATTGATGGTTCGTACCTTTACGGCCTCGGGTACGTTGCTCACCGCTCCGGGGTCCAGCCTCACCAGCCGGGTCACTTCGGCAACGATGGCATCGTTTTTAAACCTGGGAGGGAAAAGAGGGAGAGCAGGAGAATCACATCAAAGCGTGGAGGATTATTTAGCTTTAACAATAACTGTACGGACCACCGGGGGGCAGCAAACACAACTTTCTATTGAGACGCTTGTTTTTTTTATTTAATGAATTGTTTCTTTTGTTTGTTCTATGATTGATCTTTTGATGCATATTTCTTGCTTCTCTCACAGAAGCCATAAAATACAAACTCAAAGTTTGACTCCAGATCACAAAAAGAAAGAAAGAAATAAGAAAAATGGTAAAAAGAAAAAAAAAGTAAGAAGGAAAGAAAGTATGAAAGAAAAAAAAAAAGGAAGACACAAAGAATGAAAGAAGGGAAAAAAGTGAGAAAGGAAGAAACAAAGAAACAAAATGTAGATATTTAAATATTTTAAAGACTGGAAACAGTAATATTTTCTGTCTTGTTTAGTCAGAAAATTCTTAAATCTAATTCCAGACTTTTCCAGACTGTGCAGGAAACTTGTCCATAGCCTCAGCTCAGAGTGAAGTCTATGGCTGTCCAACATATCGTAATTATAATGGCACCGCAATAACAGTGTGAGCATGCTGATGTCATATTTATCCAGTTGGACTGAGTCTAATGGCAGGTTTTGTTGGGTGTTTCATGAACCTCCACCCTTTAGGAGCAACAATAAACATTTATTTGTTTTGCTCTACAACGATCTCAACTTGTTTTATTGATTCAAAAACAAATGTCCACCTTGTAGGTAACTGCATAGCCAGGTATGGTGCGATGCTCCAGGCCAGATTGACGTTGTCCTTCCACTGTTTCTCCGTCAGGCTGATGTACTTGGACCTCCAGTTGGCGATGCTGGTCTCCACCGACTGCTCTGTGGCGATGGCCAGCTCCTGAGTGGAGAGCGGGTTGTACCACGTTGTCAGACGCTCAATCTCACTGGCCTGTCGAAAAAGACGAAGAGAGTGAACATAGGAGCTGCACGAGTAGACGCGGTCAACGCTGTCCTCCGAACTCACCAGCAGCGCCAGCAGCAGAGTCCGGCGTTTCATGTAGTACTTGTGAAGCTGAGTTCCTCTGTTGCTCTTTTTAGACGTGCCTTCAAAAAAAAAAAAAAAAAGAAAAGAAAAAAATAAAAAAGCAGAGAAAGTCAAACCTGGGAGTTGATTTTGAGTCTTTCACTCGAAAAGGTCCGTCTACTTGTTGGTCCGTAAAACTTTTTGAAAACCTTTGACTTTTCAGAGTCAGATAAATCTCGTTTTTGGACTAGTTTTTCCTGAAGAATGGAAACTGCAAAACAATGATGCACACTTTGATATCGGGTGTTGATCTCCTTAGGCCACAAACTCTTTCACTACACAAATACACGTCACCTAAACCACTTTTTTTTAAAGCTCTTGTTGGCTCTAGAGGCCTTTATTTGACAGCTGTCAGACAGGCAAAGTCATTGGGCTGGGACTTGAACCTGTGAGGCCTCCATACATTGGTTACGCTTTATCCCGGCACCACCACCGTGCCCAGAATAGGATCACTTTAGAAGTGTCCAAACCTTTTAAAGTGTGTTTCCATAACAAATGCGTGCACACAAAAAACAAAACAAATTTGCAATTGCGGTGTTTCCACTGAGTAAGAAAGGTAATTAAAATTACACGTCAGTAAGTCACTAAAAAACATGCCACACCATGAACCTCCTACTATAAGTTGTGTTTCCATTACAAATAAGTGCAGATCTCTGTCTATATTCGGCTAATATTGGAAAAACGCAGTTTTGTAATTGTGGTGTTTTCATTACATAAGGAACTTAATGCCCAACCACAGGCTGGAGTTGCAAATTAGCTGTAGTTATATTGTCTTGTTGCAACACATCAGTTGCAGTGTTGATCCGTTCTGTTTGTTCCTGTCAAATAGACAAATAAATGGAATGAAAATTAAAACCACACATGAATAAGCTTCCTCACACAACAAGTCATTAAAAAACATCCTCCAGATACTTCCTGTCTTCTTCATCTGTTTGCGTCGTGTGATGATAGAGTGTTCCCGCTGCAGTTTTGCAAAATGCACCAATATTGATATGGTCGAAAAACCACCTCATCCTAACGGCAAACTAGAGTTTTTTTTTTTTTTCCCCACAATTGGTGTGTTTCTACTGAGCTAACATAGTTTCTAAATGTCAAATTGTGCAAATATATGGTCAAAGGAAACATAACTATTGTAGGTGATGGTTTGCGTTGCATGAAAAGGTTGAATTAGTTCCCTTTGTGCTATTGGTAACGCTGTACCTGACTTCTTGGATGTGGTGGACATCCCACTGGACAGAGGGTAGGTGTTGATCCAGCCCTGGGCGCTCTGCTGGGATCGGGAGCTGGAGTCCACATTGCTCCTCAGGTCGGCGGCGTTCATCACCGACAGGCTGTTCAAGGACGGGTCCTGATTATCTGTCCACAGACAAACGGAATCAGGACCGAACGAAGCCGGAGCTGCGTGGTTTAGGACCACAAGTTGAATCTACAAGATTTAGCTTAGCTTGTAGATGTATTCTGAACTAATTCACATGGTTTTCGAGTGGAAAAAAATGTGATTTGGTTCAAAATAGCAACTTTTTAACAATAAACAAACAAACAACATGGCCGATGATGAAGGTTTGTTTGGAAAGCGTGATGAGTTGTGTTGCTTCTTCTGCTGCGATGGTCATGCACTTTGTAAACGGGATATTTGATTGGAAATGGAGGCAGCAGTCGCCTTAATCCACTGATACTCGGTCAGATGTAGAAAATCTGATCCAGGTTCTGGGATTAGAGGCCTAATCTACCTGAAGCGGGTTGATGTGTATGAGAATGAAACCATGTTTTTTTTTTTTTCTGGATCGTCTAGAATGAGGTGGACAGGATTTTTCTGAGGTGGAAGTAAAAAAGAAAAAAAAAAAAAAAACTCTTTAGGATTTCTTCTTTTCAGACCAAACTGATCAGGTTGAGGAGAGAGGCGGATGGGTGGGCTTGATGATGAATCATCATGCATCATGACGCTGATGCCAAATTTGGGCTTTTCCTCACAGCTGTGTTCAAAGTAAAACCCAAAGTGAGAGAGAGAAAAAAATAATAATTTGAAAATGAAAGTTGGAAAATTTAGACCTGGACAGCACCGTGAGGAGAAGCTGCGTCAAATCTGACAGGCGTGACAGCATGCCCCCTTTGCTGCAGCGCAGCCCGAGCTCCACCGCTTTAGGCTTACTTAAGATCGATATCGGAGTAGTGCTGGACACGATTAGCGATCCGAATATCCCAGCAGAGAGAGTGCTCGGGGCTGAGGTAGTACCAAGCTCACCGGGTGGGACCAGCTGGTACGCTGCGAGGTACTTCTTATCCGACAGGATGCTGGCATAGAAGCGGATTATGATGCAGATGTCCTCGCGGAGACGCTTGTCGGCCTGGGTGGGAAACTTCGGAGACACGCTGTGAAACATCAGAAAGAGTCCGTCGATAAGGAGACGCTCACCAGATAAACCAAGCTGGGCACATGTGAGGAGAGACGCTATGTGGGCGTAACAGGTTAGAAAATGACACTAAACATGAACCAACCAGAGAAATAAGGCTGGAAATAATTAGTTCACTGCAAAAACACAAAATCTTACCAAGTAATTTTGCTCTAGTTTCTAGTGGAAATATGTTAATGCACTTGGAATAAGAACTTGTTTTAAATTAATACTTCTACAACACTGATTAAAATGTACTTGTTGCACTAGCAGATTTTTAAAAATTATAACAAGATATTTTTTTCCATGATAGAAGTGAAACTATCTGCCAGCTTTTATTTCTTGCTGAAAAGTTACTCATATGTAAGTTTTGTCTTGTTTCAAGTGAACTGAGACGTTTGCACTAAAAACTAAACAAGATTTTACTTGGTAAACTTGTATTTTTAGTAGGTTCACTAAGAAACTTATATTAATTAAAAGTTAACAAAAGTTCTTTGCCAAATTGCAATAAATAGTTATTTAAATGGGTCATAAATGGTTTTAAAACTGGAAATAAATTCAGAAGTGTAAATTAATTTACAGAAACATAAAAAATTGCATAAAGTCATGAAATAATTATTTCTACTTTTTAAAATGAAATCAACACATTTATTGATTCACATATAATTTCTGAAATTATTTCTAGTTTTGAAAAGTTTATGATAGAATTAAACAACTATTTCCCAAGTACGGTAATCTATTTATTGTACTTTGGCAGCCAATCTGTCAGCCGACGTCTGAGATCTCACCTGAAGTAATCGAAGGCTGTGGAGTAGATCTTCTCCCTGATGACGTTTCTCACAGTTGAGTTGGTGAGAACATCAGAGTGCAGCAGAGCCAGACCTAAAGTCAGCAGCCTGACACACCAACAAACACGCCTGTCGTCATCAACTCCAGTCATTTTCTACAAATCTTCACACTCAGCTCATTTATGCAGCACCCACTAACTTTGAAAGAAGGTAAATAAAGAAATAAAATGACTTGTAAAGATCCCTTTTATGTAGGGTCAAAGAAAGGCGTCACCTTTGCAAATTTCTGGGGCTTCTTTTAGGTCGCCACAAGCAATAAATCAGTTAACTGCATGATAGATTAAAACAAACTCAATCATTTCTATTTGCATGATTAATTGTTTTTCTCTTTTCTCTCTTTCTACCAAATTTGCTATTAGCGTTTTGGATCCCAGTGAAATACAACAATTGTTGTTGTTCTGTGTTGACAGAATGCAGTTTCTGTTCAGGCAGTATGAATTTGAAAGGCGGGGGTAACAGCCTTGAAGGATGCGCCATACCTGAAACGTGGTCCAATGGCAGCCACGTGGCGGTTCAAGCCGCTGTTCGATCCCCCGACGCCCAGGGACAGGGAGCGCTGCAGCAAGCTGCCAAAGATCTCCACCTGATCCGCGCTGGAATATTTGGCTATTTCAAACCTCTGGACAAGAAACTGGAATAAAAAAAATTAAAAAAAGAACGAAAGTTACTGACATAAAAGGCAAAACAGTGAAAACAGGGATGTCTACTTGGGGGGACTTTTTCTTACCTCGATCCAGATGTGGTGAGGGGTGACATCTGGAGGGCAGGGCACAGGCTGACTTTCCTCTGACGCAGCAAGAGGATCGGCCTCCACCTGCGCGTCGGAGAACAGGCCCATCTTCAGCTCCACCGTCATCTGCCACGCTCCCGCCATCTCCCGCATAAACTGGGCAAAAGAAGAAGATGCGGCTCCGTGAAGAGACGATGCTAACGAAACGCGGGGAAACAAGAGAAGGTCAAACACATCGAACAGCGTACCGGTACTTCCACCCCCGTACGCGCCGCCAGCAGCCACTCCCAGCATGCAATGGCTGTTTCCATGCCGTGCTCCGTGAACATCTTGAGGGGCGACCAGCAGAGGTGGTGCAGGAGCTGCGGGTCACATTCTACAGAGTGGAACACGACGGGAGCTGAGTCAGAGCATCGGGAAACATAAAAACATAACAGACCGATAAAGTGGTACCTCTGCTGCTGATGAGCAACGCGGCCAGCTTGAACATGGCCTCGGTGAAGGCCTCAGGCTGAGCAGAGTCCAGAGCCTCCTCCATCTGCTTGATCATGATCCGGGTCAGATCCGACTGGCCCCTGACTGCCTGCGCAAAGTGGATCATTCCTGCAACCTACAGAGAGAAAAAACACTGCAAAGATCAGAGGGGAAACATAACCCAACCTAATGCTAACAGGCAATCAAAACTTTAATACGCCAAGTCAAATGTCCTAAACGTTTCGTAGATTAGTTTTTATTAGCACATTGTTTTCCTTCACACTTCATATTGATTTGCTTTACTTTTCTGTGTGAGACACAACATAATGTTATCATAAACATGCTATTTATATCAAAAATGATCTAAAAGAAATTTGACTTCATAGTTGAACACCTTGAAATTGGGCCTCTGTTTCTTTAAGAAACTCCTGCTCTTACTGAAACTCCACCTTCAGGAAGTCATCACAACATGGCTTCTCCATTAACCCTTTAACAAATTTTTTTTAACCAGCGTTCCACTGAGAAGCAGCTCGTATGATGATCTCAGCAGGATGTAACGTTCCACCAGCTGTTTGCTAATTGCTGCTGGCTAGTCTGAAGTAGTGGAGGGCTGCTCTGGGCATCCCTGGTGTTTTGGATAACTGAATGGTTGCCAAGCAAGATTAAAGGGTTTCTCAAACATACATTAAAGACATGAAGGTATGAAAGATATCGAGATATGCTTTTGATGAGGGAATTACATTATAACATGATGGAAATCTTAAAAAAGTCAATTTTACACAATACTGCTCGTTTAAAGCATTTAGAAATAAAGTCAGAGGAAGAACAAAGGTTATAGAAAGTTCTTTAAATTGGAAGCTCATTTCATACAGAAGCATGTCGGCTCTTCATTGCTACAACACAGAGCCAGACCTGCAGTAATTGTCATTTCACTTCTTCGCCATTTTGTACATCTGTAGTTTCACACCTAATTTTTCTAACAAGAGCTAAACAGATTTATAAATCTAGTGATGCATGAAATACCTGCATTCCCATTGATATTGGTCAATGTTAGTCATTTTTTTAACATATCGGTATCGGTCCGATAAGCAATACTGGATTACATGGCATTCAACACAATGCGGATGACCGTACCTCTCCGGCGTATCTGTTCCGTAGGTTCAGGGATGCCATGAAGTTGGAATAATCCTTCTTCACACAGGCTGGCCTCTCAGTCAGCTGGGTGGACTAATGGAGAAAGGGATTGAAATGATCATTTATTAACTCCATACTCATTATGTCATAACTAAAATCTTCTAAAGTCCTGGCATCCTCAGGGTTGTTTTCTTGACCTCCATTTATTTCCCCATTTTTAAACCTCTAAATTTCTCTTTGCATTTTTAAAGTAAAAGAAAATAAAACAGGCATCTGTCTGATTGGTCAGAATGATCCAGTTATGCAACTTTCAAGCAAGTTAAATGAAGAAGTCAGTTTGTGACTCACCCCCAGAGTGGTACTCTGTCTGTTGTAGCCAGCAAAGTGCAGGATGCTTTCAGTGGCCATGGCCAGACCCGTGTGCTGGGACAGACCCGAGACCCAGTTCTGATGTTTGTTCAGGTACTCCTGACGCCGCATGGAAACGGGGAGTTCAAACTTTAAATGATAGTCTCTCTCATGTTGGACATGTTAAGTTGACATTAACATTTCTTAGGATTGACAAGTGGCATTTAGAAATGGCACAAAATTTACTTTTTCACTAGACCTTATACAAATATTCCGTTAATATAGAAGTATAAGGACTTATTACAGATACTTTCAATTTCAGTTTTTCTTTAAAAAAAAATCTAAATCTGAATAAAGAAACATTTCTTAAAAAAAATGTTCTCACCAAGTTTTTTGACATTTAGCAAACGGAAATAATTTTAGAAACTATAACCTGGAACAGGAGTCATTTGGTCTGACTGAACCTCAAATAGCGAGAGGAAACAGCGCATGTGTCTTTTTATTCTGCGTATGTAAACTTCTAGTTTCAACTGTGTAGAACTGCTTTGTGCTGCACTCTTCAAGACGATAGAGGAGAAATATTACCTGTAGGTGGGACTTTGTTACAGACGGAGCCCACTTCATAGCCTCCTTAAGGATTTCTCCACACCGCGCAGCAAAATCTTTGACAATGCTCTAAATATAGAGAGAAACGTTAACATAACATGTTCAGAATTGATTTTTGGGATTTTATTTTGCATCAAGATGAGTTAAAACAAAAAGTTACCTCCCTGGCTTCATATGTGTCCGGGGCAGTGATTCTGTACGGGGTGTCAGGGATGTCATAATACGGCTGATCTTTATGAATGTCCTGCAACACACCGTCAACACTCATAAAACCTTGGTACAGATTCACAGATACACACTGCTTTGACGGATTAAACAATCATCACTCACTGCACTGAGGGACAGGGAGAGAGTCTGCAGGATGTCCAACATGGTCTTCAGCACCCGGCCGCTCCAAAGCAGGTGGGGGAAGCTGAGGGGAGAGACGTTGGAGTGTTTATGAAAGACAAAGAAGTCATTTTGAGAGGAAGAACCGGTGGATCGGAGCTGTCTTACGTTTCAGCCAGACCAGACAGGTATTTGTCGGCCACTCTGCGGATCCGCTTGTGGATGTGGTTGAAGTTGACCAGGAGAAACTGAGCGTGGCGTTCCAGTTCCTCCTCGTGAGCTTTGGTTTTAGGCTTTTTAAACAAAAAAAATATGGTAAACGGACTGTGCTGAGAAACAGTAAACAAATAGCATTATAAAAATATGTTCATTTTCTAACGAGGTTTGAAATTATCGATGTAATGCAGACATCAGGCTTGATAAGTTGCTTTGGTTCTGAAAGAGTGGAAAGCCTCACGTACTTTTTCAGCCATCATTTGAAGGAAAACCTCAAACACCTTGTCACTGACAGCGATCACGCACTGCATCATACCTGGAAAAATATGGATTTAATACACCAAGGACAGTATTTCTCTGTCAGAACAGTTTCCTTGTCTGTGGCCGTTACCAGATTTATCCTTCTGTATCGCTCTGTCTTCAAAGTAACGAAACATGACCTGGAAGCGGTCCGAGTCCAGAGAGTGCAGCATCCTAAACATAATGATAAACAAAAACAAAGATGGAGTGAGGTCATGTTACTCATGTAAAGAACAACGCTGCAACTACCGATTATTTTAGTAATCGATAATTCTGATGATTAATCAGATAAAAAAAATAGCCACAGTCTACAGATTATTTAACCATTGAGACTTTTTTATACACTGTGAGAAATATATTTAAAGACGCAAACAAACTATTTGTTCTTGTTTTAAACAAGACAATAAACATTTTATTGCCTAAAATGCAATAAAATAGCATTCATTTAAACCGAGTGAAACTAAAACTATGCCACTTGAGTAATATATATGTATTTTAAACAGTTTTGTCTTAGTTACTGCTCTGATTATCTTATCTATTTTTGAGTCTATATGCTCTGGTTAACGATTAATCAATCGCTAAATTAAGGGACGATTATTTCAATAATCAATGTTTAATGATTAATCCAATTAATCATTTCAGCCATAGTAAAAATTAGAAGTCCTTTTGTTTTGGAGGCATCGTTTTACCTCATGTACTCCAGCCTGTAGACAGACAGCAGGTATGTGGACATGGCAAAGTCCAGCTTGTTGATGAGTGCGGCCACCTCTGGAGGCGGGTCCAGCAGGTTGATGATGGTGCTGCGCAGGTCATTCAGCTCCGCCTGAAACATAGCAGCTAGAGTCAGAAAACTGTGCACCTGCCTCTGTGTGTGTGTGTGTGTGTGTGTGTGTGAGTGTGTTCGTACTGGAGTGACGGTGTCGTTCTTCAGCGCAGAGTTATACTGAAGTTCGGAGCGTAAAGGCTCCCCGCTGGGAAACGTCAACAGCGGCGATTTGGTTGCGATTTCACAAACTCCTTCGTACCACTCCTCCGGCCACAGACCTGATTGTTTCAACAAGGACAGAGGGAAAGAAAAAGGAGCTGAGTGGAGCACAAAGAATAGATTTACAAACTTTCTGTGTAAAAAGACAATAATTCTTGTTCTCGATATCTGCAGGTTTCAGCAAGTCAAATTTAAGACTTTTTAAGACCTTTTTAATGCCACCATGAATGAAGTTTAAGACAAAAAAGAACTACAACATTCCCATCCTGCTGTATTAGAATAAAGAATAGTAAAAACTGTGAAATTTCATGGGATTTGTTTGTGGCTCTTGGCAACAGCTTTGTACTTCTCTTCAGCTTTAAGGTTTTTTAAATTTGCACTTAAAGGCTCCATCTCCATTCATTTCCTATGCAGCTTAGGGGCGACAATCGGTAGCTCTCCTCCAGCCAAGTGAACAATGACATTCTCATAAATGCTGACCTGACCACAGATAAATTTTCACCTCGATTGGTGATGACTTTTGCCTGTCACTATTGTTCGTCACTCCCCATGTGTGGTAGACACAAAAAGCTAGTTTGTCTTAAATTTACCTCAGATGCTTACAAAGTCATGAAAATCCACTTTCAAAATGTGACACTTTCCTGACATTTTGAAGCCCAGAGAGAATTTCTGCTTAGCCCAAGCTTCCAGACAAAACAAGACAGTATTTTTTCTGAGAGATTAGACATATTAGTGTGAAAAATCCTTAAACAGATTGAAACTAAAACTTGGCCAGAGAGTTGAGATTCTCTATTAATCTATTCAATTCCCTTAACTATCTTTTGCAGGGCCTTATCAAAACACAAATTTAAAATAATAATTTAAAAAAGTAACAAATATTCTGTTGCTATGAACTGTATCGCTAGTTTTAATGTTACCTGAGGTTTTATGCCAATGTATCACTCTAATTTCTCTGATAAAAGCCTGAAAAGATTCAAAACTTTAAGTGAATGTTTAAATGTTCATTTCCAGCTTGCCATACTAAAAATCATGATACTGGAAAAGGTGAACGACAACATAAATGATTTACAAGCAGGGTTGAGTAAATGTATTGTACCTGAGCCCTCCACTGCGAATCCCATGACGACAGAGTAGAGCCAGAAGTCTCTGAATAACTTCTGCAGACGCGGCTTTGCCTCCTTTATTGGTGGCAACCTCTTCGTCAGCTAGCATGGAAAACAGAATTATGCTTCAAAACGGCCATAAGTATACCTGGAGGTTTAGCATTCAGCATAGTGAGAAAAGGAGCTTTCAGTTTCAGTTTTGCCTCAAGATAAAAAAAAAAACACAAAACAAGCAAAGAGCTGAACATCTGGATCACTTACCACGGCGATTACCGGAATGAGGACGCCGAGGTTTCCAGCACTGCTAGAGGCCTGCAGAGAAACAAAAAAAGACACGTTTCTGCTTTCCAGCTCAAAGATATTCAAAGACGACATAATTAAAGACAAAACACAGTTACATTGCTGGGATGTAGTAAGTTAAAGCTGCAAATTTTAGCGTTGACATAACCAATCTTTAGCCTCAGTCTTAGTGAAGAGCTGTCACACAATCATTTAATTTCCGTAAGATGTCTGTATGAAAACTATAAACGGGATTTTAAATTGATTTCATGAATCATTTTAATCTAAAAAAAATGATTCATATTAGAAAGAAGATATCATTATTCCCATTAGACCCAGTAGTGTGAGTGCAGGCCAGCCCTGAGACCGGTGGGTATTAAAGATGGCTTTACTGTAACAATTCCTCCACATGTAAAGTCTAAATAAAGTCAAAATTCACTGTGATTCCTTCAATGTTTTAATGCACATTTGAAAAGGATAGTGGAAACTGCAAAACTGGAGACATTTTCCTCAGTTTAGCAGAAAAGTTTTTACGCTCGCTTGAAGTTTGGCTTCTCCAAAATAACAGAGTTAATGTGCTAAAGGAAAGATGGAAACAAAAGTAATGACTAAGTTTTGACGTGGCGACCTTTCACCTCCACTGGTGGCTCTGTGCTTTACTAGAGGTATGAAACTCTGAGAAACTTCTAAATCCAAATCTCCAGCTCAGAGAAGAGGAATCTCTCCAATTTTCTGAGATGTGAGATTCATGCTAGTTTATAACCTCTACGTCCTGCTTGTTAGAGCCACACATAGCATCAACATCTGATGAAAAGGTGCTTTATTTGGATTTTTTTTTTTTTGCAATATTTTAATAGTTTTGCTCAAAATTCGCATGACAGTTGGATGAAAACAGTAAAATGGACTCACTGTGAGAGTTCAAATGTTAAGTGTAAATGTTTATAAGAAGCGTACCTTCAGGGCCGGGCCTTTGTCCGAGGCCCGCTCACTCGCTCTCTTCCCCTCTAAGCCCAGCTGCACAAAAAGCTCCAGCAGGTTGACCAGCAGCTCGTCCACCATCTGCTCGGCCTGCATGTTGGCTGCTATGTTACCCAGAGCGTTTATAACAGCCAGAGAGCAGTGTCTGCACAAAGAGGAGGGAAGCAAGTAGGATCAAAGTCCAGCATACAGATTTATAACATCATGGTAAATAAGCAGCAACATCTAATCTATAATTGTCTCTTATGTTTCATTTAGGTAGTTTTTATTAAACACTTGAGGATCTTTAAAGGGGCAGGATTGTGTTTTCCAGGCACATAGAGCCATTTTATAGCACAATCAAGTAACTATGTTGACTTTAGTTGTTATAAAAATTCTGTATGTAACAAATATGACTTAAATTATGCTTTATAATTTAATGTCCTGAAATTGGGCCTCTGTCTCTTTAAGAAACTCCTACTTTTTCTGAAGCTCTGCCTTCAGGAAGTCATCACAATATCATTAACCATCTATTAATATTCTAACAACGTTTTTACCAGCGTTGCTCTGAAAAGTAGCTCCTAGAAAGAGCTTAGCAGATGTACAGTTCCTCCAGGTGTTTGCTAATTACTGCTGGCTAGTCTGAAGGATCTGGGTGGGGGCTTGGAAACTGCAGCTTCATCAGACCTTTGGTGAGCCAGATATGACTGGAGGACAAGATCGGCTTCACATGTATCGGCCGATCACCCAAAACCAAGGAAATGTCTGCACCTCTATATTAAGTGACATCTTAAAGCCGTTGGTTGCACTGGACTTTACTATTTACAGATGCACACCACAGATTTTCAGATGTAAAAATGCTTAAAACTGTGTGTCCTTCTCTTTCCATTTCACATTTCTGTGTTGGTCAATCACATGAAATCCCCCAAAAAATGCATTAAAATTTGTGGTCATCAGGGGAAACGTGAGAATATTCCTGCGTTGCATAATGGAAGAAAAACTAACTGTCCTGCATATAACCATCAGAGCTATGATGTAAACTTGTGCCAAGGTTCCCCTCACCTGTAACCGTGGTCTTTGTAGTCTTTGGTGGAGTAAACCATGGAGCTCGCTTTGACACTGATCTGCTGGAACAAATTCCACACTTCCTGGTAGATGTATTGCTAAAAGAGAAACAAGAGCGACTAATTGACTTCCTACAAATGTCAATTTTTAAAGTGATGACTCACTTTTACATTTTTTTTGGTTATGTGCAAAAATCCATTTATTTGAATAATTAACATCACGGTTCGCGGCGGTGAATCAGCAGTTTCTCTGTGACTGGAGGCGAGAAAAGAACCTGTCAGCTCTCACATTGCCTGTGATCACCATGCAGCCCAGCTGATCTATGATGAGGACGTCGAGCTGCGAAGGTGGCTGGCAGAACTTCTGCTGCAGGATCTGCAGGATGGGCTCCATCACCCTGGGCGTGTCGCGCAGCGCCACGGCGATGTGGCCCAGAGCTCTGATGGTGTGGTCCGGGATCAGGTGAGCATCCCTGTTAAGGGAGGAAAGGACTTTAAACACTCCGTTTCAGCACAACTAGGTGGGTGATTTTTTTTCTGGATCTGGCTTACTTGTCATTTTCCTGGTAGATGTAGAGACGGTTGGACAGACTGGCGAGGAAAGCCTCCACGATGACGTTATCCATCGTGAGGCCAGCTTTCAGGCACCTGGAGAGAGCAAAGAGGGAATCCTGCTTTGGAACTTGGAAAAAAAAATATCATAACTTCCTGTTATGCTAACTGTTTTGCTACATGATCCTTTCTACTGGCCTGGTACATTAAAATACATATTAGGACCTTGTGCAGTTTTCTGGAATAGTTTTTCCTCCTCCTTTTATTTTTACTCCCTGGAACCAAAACCAAATGAAACAAAAGCAGATAGAAATCTACCCTGAAAAAATCTCTGCTAGGTAATTTCTTGGTAAAAATTAAAAACCAAGCAAGTTTATTTGCATAGCAGGTTCAGCAACATGGCAGTTGAAAGTGCTTTACATTGTGAAAACATAAAAGGAAAACATTCTAGTCTGGATTTAAAACAGAGTTTGCATGCAAATACTTTAATGAAACCCTACAAACTAAATAAAAATAAAGCAATTAAAAGAAGAGTGGACTTTATTTTTTCAGAATTTCCTCAAATATGGAGAGACATCAAGCCTTTTTGAGGAGATTTTAAGATGAAAGGTTGAATGGTTTTTTTCCACTCTAACTCACCTGCATATGTTATCGATGGAGATGTCCCGCAGCTGTTCGTACATGGACGGCTGGCTCTTCTTGCTTGCATTGGTGCTGATGGTTGACTGAGAATGTTCATTGGTCACATGGATCTTGATGTCACTTCCTCCTTGAAAAGACAGTTATTTTGTAAGACACACTGTATTAGATCAGTGGTGGGTACATTTCCACTAATCCGCTAACAGATGAGCTAGGTTTGTGTTTAGCGCTTTTCCTAACTGAAAACGTTTAGCGCAGTTAGCGTCCCCTGAATTAAAGTTTCCAAACCAATTCCAAATGGCCTCTTTAGTTGGCTGTTTTGCGTTCAGTTGAATAAAGTTCGACATTTGGTCATCGACTAGTAAGAGTTCTTCAGGTAATCAGATGTTTACATTCATGCTCTTATTTTGAAATGGGTGAAGACTGTTATGCTGCAGTTCTGTTTTCTCTCCCGTTTCCTTCACCCCCCCAATAACTTTATTTTTAACAAGACACATACAAGAAGAAAATAAAACATGGAAAGTTGAGAACAAGATTTAAACATAAATACATCATATAAGAGCATCACATAGGATGTAAATTATGTCAAAATTAAACTGGTGCTCAAGGGTTGTAGTCTCAGCATTAGCTTCTGCTAAACACCATGTTGCTAAGTGCTTTTGGTAATGCTACGGCATTAGCTGCTAGAAATAAAAATAAAATAGTGACATTATTCTGCTAAAACCCTTTAAAAATGTATTTTTTAAAAATGATAAAGGAGTAAAATGAAATTCAGTTACGTATTATGGCAATAGTAGAGACAACAGTACAAGGAGCTGCATGCTACACTTTTCCTTCCCCTTTATAATAATGTGCCACTTTTTGTTGGTTCATCTCATAGAATTAAAAAAATTGGGTATTTTTACTATTTGTTGTCTGTGACTTAAATACGAGACATTTATGATAATGCTACATGCATCCCCTCTATCTGAGGAGGACAACTTGTCCACTTGGGAGCAACATTGTTACCTGGAGCGCACTGGCTGTGATATTTGTAGAGCTTCACCAGAACAGGAGAGGGCACCACCAGGAAGTCTCTGAGAGACGTGGTGACGGAGTGCGCCACGACAGGAAAGCGCTCGCACAGACGACCCAAACCCTGCACACAAACACAACAGCTAACAGCTGCTAGGCATCCAGCTTTGAACCACTTTCCACTGATTTCATGCAGTCAGGAAGTAACAGTGTAGCTATGGTGGCAGCTCAGTGACGCTTTTGTCACCAAATGAAGTCAGAGCTGGGATAGAAGGTCAGGATAAAGAAATAGAAAACCTGAAGTCCCAATAGGAGTCTCCAAGTGATCTGCTAATTTGCAGCGTACCAATATGCTAAACAGATTAAATGTTACACCAACATCATGTTAGTTCACTGCACTCCTGCTTTCACTAGGCTAGGCGGATTGTATTGAATTACAATGAATGGTTCACATAGAGAAGCAGAGAATGTTAGGTTGCATGCATGCATGTTCATCTCTTTGTAACTCAGATAAACTAAAATAATCATCAGGTTCGACAAAACTCAAAATTTGATGTGCCAAAGCAAAGATGAAGGCCATCATTTAAAAAGGCAGTACTGTGTGTTTTCCAGGCTCATAATACTGTTTTATAGGATGATTAAGTAACTACATTACCTTGAGTTGTTGTAAAAATGCAATATATATCTCAAGGATGACTTAAAAAAAAGAAGTTTTTCACTTCATAATTTAGCGCCTTGAAATTGAGCCTCTGTCTCTTTAAGAAACTCATTTCTGAAACTCCGCCATCAGGAAGTCACCACAAAATGGCTCCTCCATTAACCCTTTAACAACGTTTTTACCTATGTTGCACTGAGAAGTAGCTCCTATAATGAGATCAGCAGATGGGAAGTTCCATCAGTGTTTGCTAATTGTTGCTGGCTAGTCTGAAGGAACTGAGAACATTAGAACACGATGTGAAGCTCAAAAAAGTTAATTTTACATAATATTGCACCTTTAAATAATTTTTTCTTTTAGGTTAGGAATGTCCAAAAGTTTTTGTCACATGGACCAAAATTGTCAATGGAACAAAAAATCTGCAAATTCAGATTCCCCCTCCCCCAAGTCAGTTTTTATTTTTCAATTCTTTTGCAGATTTGGAAACTAATGAAATCAAATTGCATACTTTGCCAGACTAAGCTCTCCTGTAATTGCTGAGAATTCACCAAACAAAAGATGAAAGTCAATTAAACTCTAAATGCTTTGTAACAATGAAAACATATTTTAGAATTTACTTCTCTCATTTTTTTTTCTCACCTGTAAGCAGCATATGAGGAGGGGCATGTGGGCGATGATAACTTTACTAGAAGTCTTCGACTGCAGCTTCTCTGACAGTTTGGTGCAAAGGTTCTCAGCGCCTGGTGAAAAAAAACAAAACAGCTTTCAAGTCATGAGAAAAATCAAATTACATTTTGTTAGACTGGATCAAATGATCCAAGTCTCACCCTGTTCCTCTGTGACAGCCCAAACCATGAGGTCAACACAAGCAGCGTTGGCCTGGCAACGCAGTTTGAGCGGGCTCAATTCACTCTGAAGGTACTCCACGTCATGGAGAATCCTCTGCAGCTCTGACTGGCTGCTGCTGAACTGCTCCAGGACGAAGTCATGAACCTCCTTCACATAGTCAGTCTGAAGGTCTGAACCATGAAGAATATATTTATTTATTAGGGAAACTATGACTAACTGTTAGACATAGTTTTTCTAAAAGATTTGAAGAACGTCAAGAGCGGTTTCCTCACCTTTCAGATTGTACAGAGTGTCTCTCAGCATTTTAAATATGGCCACATATAACGGGTCACTGAAGGTCTTGTAGTAAAGATGAATTTCTGGATTGCTCTATGAAGAGAACAGCATCAGTAAGTAATAACTGTTACAAGTACGGGTGCACAGATTGCAGTTTTCTGGTCTGACTATGATTTTGGCCTACAGATATTTTTTAGTCTGACAAGCTGGTAAATAAGGCAACAGAGTTGATAAGTTGGCAACAGTGGTGCTAATCTAATGACATCTTCACAGAAAAGAGAACAAACTTGGTGTAAGAGTCTTACTTCCTGGTATTCTGCTAGGATGCCATCCAGTGACTTCAAAAACGACTCGGAAACAAATTGCTCAACCTGATCAAAACAAGCAAGCAATGTTTATTTTAACAATAAACTAATGGCAGAAGATATGAACTATTTTCTGTTTGCATTACTGAGGTAATAGTGTAACTACAAAGACTGAAGACAGAACAGATTTCAGTTTTGCACTGTGCTGTGATTAGTGGTGAAAGTGTTGAGTGGAGTTAGCGCTAACCATGTGAAGGAGCTGCCTGAGCATCTCCAGAGGGACCTGGAACTCTCCGGAGCTGCTCCCAGTGAAAAGAGGAGAGACAGAGAAGCTGGAGCTGATGGTGGAGAAATAATAATCGGGGTCCACGGCGCTGCCATCAGGGAGGTAGGAGCCTGGGGGAAGAAAAAGAATGCTTTGAAGGGGAAAGGAGGTTCTTTTGGGAAAAAAGTGGTGAATTAGTCAACGTATTGTGTAACTTGAAATTAAGAAAATGAATGGAAAATGAATGGAATCACAACAATTATAAAAAACAATTGTAAGAAGTTTGTGTACTGGGATGAGGTGGTTTTTCGACTGCATTGAAATGGATGTATTTTATAAAACTGCATTGGAAACATTTTTTTTTGCATCACACGAGTCACTTGATCAACAGCCGGATGCTGCTACTGCTGAAAACAATGAAGAAGACGACAGGAAGTGGTCGGAGGAATACCGTTTTGTGTTTTTCAGACAGCGTGCAGCTGGCTCCACCAGAGTTCTCACAGCGTCACACAGCTCATGTAAAGTTGTGTGTCATTCTAACATGTTGAATTCACAGCTCCTCTGTAAAATCACAGATTACAATTTCTCTAAAACGCTGCATAGGTAGCTGCTAATGATTTTTTGCATTAACAAGCTTATTCACGTGTGATTTTCATTTTATTTCTTATCTAATTGAAACAACACATTTGCCAAATTGTATTTTTTGCAACATTAATGGAATGCTGACAAAAATGTACGCACATTTTCAATGGAAATGTAAGTAAAAATAAACATTTGGAAATGTGAACATACTCTGTTTATATTATGCTTCCTGGAGCGTTTCCATTATAAATGTGTGCAAAACTTTGTTAGTATCCCACTAATGTCAAACAACACAATTTTGCAATTGTGATGCTTTCATTAAATAAGAAATGCAATTAAAATCACATGTGAATAAGTTTGGTCATGCAATAAGTAAACACACCACATAATCATAGTCCAACCACTTCCTGTCTTCTTCTTCTTGGTTTGTTCCAGCGGCAACAACTGGTTGTTGATCATGCGACTCGTGTGACGCAGAAAAAATGTTTCCTCTGCAGATTTGCTAAATGAACCAATTTCGAAATTGCCCTGTTTCCATTAAGTTAATTTATTTTTAAAAATTGTCAAATTGTGAATAATATGATCAGTGGAGACGATCATGGCACTGCACGGGCTGTTTACCTTCAAAGTACTGCGCAGACGGATCGGCAGGAGAGCTGGGCGTCAGTCCCGTTCTCTCTGGACTTGCCTACAAAACAGACACACGGTGATTCTTATTTTAACACGAGTCCCAAGTCGTCTTGCCTGTTCCACTCTGGAGCCGCCGATACCTGTTGTGAAACGCTGGACACAGAGGAGGTTTTACGTTTCAGAGAGTCTCCCTGACACACCGTGAGCAGAGAGCTCGGCAGGATGGAGCGGAAGTCGTTGAAGGAGCGCCGTCGGGCCACATCGCCGCAGTCACCTACAGAGAGCAACGGGGCAGCGGGTCGGGGGAACAGCTTGGACAGCAGCGGCTCGTCCGTGTTACTGTATCGGCCAAACGCCCTGGCCACACCCAGCAGGCTGGGCACAGTGTACCTGCACAGGTATCCTGCGAGACGAAATGGACGCAAAGGATAAGATTATCTGGAATAACTAGGGGAAACATGGAGAAACTGTAAAGGGTGTTGGGTTAGCACCTTTATCGTGAGCATCTGGATTTTTGCAGATGTCTTGAAGGACCTGCATGATGTCCATGAGCGCCTCCAGGATCTGAAATACATGGCTGGCTTTTCAGCTAGTTCATGAGGACGTAGCGCAAAAGTCATTAAATCTCATGTATATCATATCTGTATAGTTCTATCTTCAGACAAGGGAACAGATGTTTTTTTAATCAGCATTGATTTTCCAGGCCCTTACGGTGTCACAGTGCATCAAGAGTTCGACAACAACAGGACAAAATTCAGTTTTTCTTTGACCTTAGCGTATTGGGACATTTGCATTTTTAGAGCGTTGTTGTTGTCATGTAGGATTATATGAAGGGTGTGACCAGCCAACCATTCTAGGAGAAACGATAACATTCAGTAGGTCATCTATGTATCATCAGCATATCAAAAAACTCAACTGAATTTTTGGAAAAGTTGACTCAAAGAAAGGATAAAGGCCGAAAGAGAAAGAAAAACATACACAAGTCTATATCTCTGAGGATCTCCATATAATTTAAATAAGTCACGTGTTATTTTGTTTTATTTCATACATTTTTTAATACAAATATAGCCTAAAAGTGTAGCTTGTTTATTCACAAACACACTTACTTGCCGTTCAATCTTTTCATTCTAAACTCTTAACCATTTTTGGACTATTACCACAAAATCACCTCAAACTGTTTTGTGTCTAAAGGCTGCAGAGACGCCTACTGATGAATATTCTACACATACCTAGGATTTTATTGGAAGCACTTCACATCTAGTGGTCAGAGCGTGAATGACACACATCAAATTATCTTATGCTGTGTCTGTCCCTATCGAATAAACCTAATAAATAAAGACACCACTAGCTGTGATTTTACAGCATTAGATTGCATTTCAAACTCTGTGATGATTGACCAGAGTGATATTACAAAAACAGATGCTGTATTCCTGTTTAGCCATAGCAGCATCAATGAAAGAATCTACATATCTAACATTGAAAATGCATTCAATTACTATTATGCCCAACATCACTAATTTGCATCACACTATAAATTTGTGTTGGGTATAAATAAAGAGAATCTTTATTTAATTTAGCATCTGCCAGACAACAAAACCACGATTCTGCTATTTTTATTATATAATATGAAATAAATATAGGCAATAAGGGGTTAAAAACCAAGGCATTGTGATTTTATTTCAAATCTGCATCTATCCACAGCTACTCTACTAATGCACTCACTAAATACTATGTGTCTGTGAATCCGGATGAGTAAATAGGAAGCACACACCTGTCCTCTAAAGTTCTCATCTCTCTGAGCAACATCTGAGAGCAGCGTCACAAGACAAAAGCTGAAGTTTTCTGCGACTGGAAGAGCGTCTGTAGGACGAGACGAAAACAGAGATTAAAACCTTGCAGTGACAGCTTCAAGACTTGACCTGAGCACCACAGTGATACTGACCCCGCCCTTTGCGTTCAGAGCTCTCCTCGATCCACTGAACCTTGGGAAGCCCTTTGAGTAGCCCAAGAAGGTAGGGGACGATGACGTCTTTGTGCTGCAACACAAGATCGTCGTGTTTAGCAAGTCGTGAACGTTGGCATGAGCGCATGACGAAGCGGCAGGAACGGGATTTACCTGTAGGTTGGACTCTACCAGGAAAATCCCAAGAGCAGTCACAGCATCCCGCCTCCTCTCGTCAAGCTGGAAGACGCCTCTGAAGTCCACAGGGCACATGCAGTGCAGCTTCTGCACCTGCAGAACAACAACAAGGGTTAATAAAACAGACTTTTTTGTTCAACTATATGAATTAGAAGGCAACCAAGGCAAATGCTGAAGAGAGCATTGACTTAAATTCAGAAATGTGTCATTTTAGAGCCGTTTTGAAAATGTATAGTTTAATAAATGATGCCACAGTAAAATCAATGTATTGTGATTTAAAAAAAAAAAAAGCATTTATGTACAGGAGTGGGCATTTATCTTACCTCTTATTATTTATCGTGATAAACTTCCTATCATGATAAAAATTTATATTTATTGCTGGGACGATAATTTCCAATGAATGTTTAAAACACTCCAAAACTATCTGTATGTATAGTTTTACTATTTTCTCCACTGTTTGTTCAATGGAAGCATCAATAAACATCAATGCATTTGAAAATATGATGCCTGCAGTTACTGTGAGCACTTTAATACAAATTACACTTCTTTGTGTGACTGATGTCCTATTTATATAATACATTGTTAGGAGAACCTGTAACTAACACATTTACTGTTGACATGACCTTCCCTGCAGGGATACTTTAACTCCATTAGTCTTAATGATTGGGTTGGGATAAACGCCTTTTAGGAACCAAGCCAAAAACCTCTTGTTACAACTCAAATGGCCATTTCTACCCTGAGGTCAGCAGAATAAAAAAACTTCAGCCACAAATGTCCCCATTAAAAAAATAAAACTTATAATTTCAGAGAAATATCTACCCTAGAACCACAATTTAAATGAGGAAAATATAAAAACATCTACAAAAAGAAAATGGATTAATTTTCTTCTATGGGATGTCGATATTTGTGGAATATTAGTGGAAAATGATATAAAAACAACACAGCTTTCTACAAAAAATATTACCATAATAATTTGGTTTATCTGTTTATTGTGGCTAAGAGTTTGATCTCATGGATTGATCTTGTTTGAACATTTGCCAGCAAATATATAAGAGTGATTACAAATGCTTGTTTGTGAACTTCAAAGTTTTCCTATGGGAGAAAGTCTCTGTGAGGATCATCTAGCAAAAGTTATGCAACATGCTACTTTTTTTTTTATTTAATTAAAATGACTTGTTAGAACAAAAGTTATTCAACTTAACATAGTGTGCAAAAAACCCTGAAGGAAACAAAACTGTTGTGCTTTTAAAAGCCCTATGAAAATGACTGACTTTACTGACTAACTGTATAATAATCGCTGTTTTATTGTGACTTCCTGATCTGCTTCCTACTGTGTTGTAACCTTCTCAGTGAGTCAAACAATTTCTCTCAAATCAAAGTTCAAACACCCAGAAAAAAGCAGAAACAAACCCGGCTGATCATTAATCGTAAAAACACCATGAAGTACAGCTGTATTGTTATTGAAACGGCCCTTTCATCACATTGGGTGCTTCCTGTTCAAAACTTCCCAATTCTGAAATCTCTCCTCCAACCAGCTCAACCGCTGGCTGCTTGTACAGATAAATGGGTACAGATGGATAAATTACAAGTAATAATGTGTATGTATAACATATTATTAACTTTACAACTCACACTTTCTTTGGTATGGCTAATTAATATTTATATGCATGTATGTGTTAGTAGGTGTGCAGGTATGTATGTGTAAATGCAATACATACAATACAGGAACACAAACAATTGTATATGAATTTGTCCATATATGGTTGGAAGGTGTTGGGGGTATGTGTGTGTAACGATAGGAAGTCTAATTTCAACAAAAAGCAACAATAAGTTTATATAGTAGTATATCAATGGAAATGTGTGTTGTTTAGTCCTACCTTGTCACATAAAAAAATTAACGGAGTAAGCAAAAGGATTATTGCTCAAGTCCTGCTGAATTTATTATTGTAGCATTTAAAATAAGGCAACAGAAGAACAAATTATTGTGAAGTCTTGGAGAGGAGGTAGGACTAAATAAGTCTGTACTTCTTCCCAAGTGTAAATTCATTTGGGGGATTAATTATGTTTACTCTTGTTCTCTATGTGTTTGAAGGAAATCAAAATTGAATTGAAATTTGATCAGAAGGGAGATTATTGTTGTCATCACTGCAACGACAAAAAGTATTAAACCGTTTATATAGTAGTATGAAGATGGCATAGGAGATAAACAGAATAAACACAAGTTAGAGGGAGGAGTGCTGCGTTATATTTAAAAGAGAGAGAGCCTGAAACAGAACATTGATTAAACATTTAAACAGTAGTTCAACCACAGGACAAGACACATGGATTGAATAATTGATTAACACTTGGATGGATGAATTATTTAATATAAATCCATTGCTGCTTATCAAAAAGGTCAGACTGTAACTTCAAACCAGAGTGTTTTCATGAACACTGCAGTCTGCTCTTCCTGGGTTTGGCTCCTTTCAAGGTTTCTTCCTGTCTACAGTCGCCCTCCACACTGTGCATGCTCAGGATGTTTGATGTAATTATAGTATTTACTATTAAAATAAATCCGATTGTCAAACCTAATCGAACGGAGTGCATTGCAATTTAATTTTAAACAGAAGAACTTTGTAAATGTGATTCTTTCTTTTTGTCTCTTTAGAATGCTCTTTAGAATGTCCTGAACGTTTTATTGGTCTTAAGAGATTTTCTGTTTGTTTTGTACAGAGTTTCTTGCATTATGTCCATGACGCACATTGGAAGTTAAAGGAGAGCAAAATAGAGGAAGAAGCGGCAGAAATCAGACAGAGCTCATTCAGTTCCACCCTGAGCAGATTAACTGTGGGCTAAAAACAGCCAGCCGACACTAAAACCCACTGCGTAGCTACGTTAAACCTCCAAATAACAATAAACCTCCAAACTACCAGAGAAACTTAAAGTCAGTTCCGACCCACAGGAACACACCCGGTAAAGAGAGAACAGCGAAGTTCAGGACGTCAATGTCAAATTCAGTGTAAAGGGTTGTGACTAGCCTATCAGTACCAGCTAGCCGGGTCGTTACCTTGTCTAACGGCGCGTGCTGGTGAGTCGCGAGCGACCGAGCCAGAGACAGCACGGTGTTGAAGTAGAAGCCTCTGCATCCTCCTCCATTCAGAGACATGTTTAACCATTCCCGGACGCCGCTACACAGACACAAACATCTTCTATCGTTCGGCCCAACCACAGCAGATACAGAGGCTGCTAGAACTACGGTGGGGGAGATGGCCAAACAGTGCCAAACAAGGTCATAAACCACTGTGCAACTGGAAAACAGGTCCCATCGATGCCATTTTAGAAATTTTGCATATTCCGCTTTTTTCTGCAGTTTGACAGTTTACTCTATTTTTAGAGTATTGTCCATACTTATTATTCGTATATTAAACTCAGGCTATAAACTTGTAAAAAAAAAAATCTCTAGATGAGCTGAATTCATATTCATTCAGGTCAGATTTGGGCTTCATATTTAATTTTTTACCATCATCGTTCTTATGAGTGGAATCTGATAAAATCTGTGGAGGCATCAAAGAAAAGGGTATAAATTAAAGATATAAATCATTTCTACTATTTAATGTTCTATTAAAATGTAAATAAAACATGATTAAATGAAATTCCTTTTTAGGAATGCACAATATATCAATATCAAAATCGGTATCGCCCGATGTGAAGACATTTTTTAACGATAAGTAGAAGTGGGCTTATATAAGGTATTTATTTCTATCTTGCTACAATTTGTGTATAATTTTCAGAAGGGTTTGGTCATGCAGTATTTGTTGTGACAAATAAAATAACATTTTCCCTATTCCTTTTAATATTTTCTAGTCTTACTTTCTATAAGACAGAAACTTATGGGAAATGAAAATAATTTCAACATTTTAATCTGCCAGGGTTTAATGAATATAAGCATTACATTTCCATGTACACCTTACAAAATCATCGTCCATCTAATGCAAAACGAACAATGGTACAGTGTGAGTACAGTTTGTGAGCAAAGAACAACAAAAAAATAAACACACACAGAGCAAATAGTCTGAACCATGTTTATTTGTAGTAATGAGACAGAAGGGACATGATGTTCTATGGTCTGTGAACATTTTCAGTGTTAATCCAAAAACCCCAGATATATTTAAATAGCTGTGATGGAGGCCAGGGTTAAGAGATTAACATGAAAGATAAGTATAATTCACAGTAAACATAGCGTGTTGCACACAAAGACTGCAATAAGCAAAATAAGAATTAGCATTGCATGTAAACAAGCCAGTTTCACAAGCTACAAGCTCTAAGTCCATAACATACAATTGTGTTATGAGCAGCAGTTGGCACATTAGGTCCTCAGATGGCATAAAAAGTAAAGGCAATTAACTTGAGAAAGACCGAAATTAGGTACCTGTATTACAAAAGAATCTATGGACAGAGATGAAAGGCACCATTAGTTGCATCCGAAGCACTTTAAAGGCAAAGTATACAATTTAAAGAGCAAAAGAAAAAGAAAAAGAAAAAAGTATAAAGAAACACTGATGCCGATACAGAGGAGTTGAGAAGATATAAACGTGTTAGAAATACCTTAGGCACAGCTGGAGAATTAACAACAGTGTATAAAACCGAGTTTGCTCCTAAAATCTGTAGTGATGGAAGACATCCTTCTCTCATCCTTAAGCTCAAAACGAACCACTGAAAACACAGGCACTTCCCAGGGCAACACGTACATTAATATAGAACATCTTTGTGAATTAAAGGCGAACCCTCCTCACACCACCTCTGACTCATCCTTAAAGGATATTAAACAAATTGTCATACAGCAATATTTTTAAATTACACCTCATAACATAATCTACATGTTTAAACATTCTAGAATTAAGGCATTTGTTTATTTATTTATTTGACCCTCAGCAGCATATTATTTATTGCATTAGGTACCAATTTAATAAACTTTCTACTTCAACACAAGTAAAAAAAAAAATAATAAAGGGTTTAAAATGTTAGATCTCTTGAGTTGTTTTTTTTTTTTCTTCAAGTATATATTTTTTCCTCTAGTGTTTAAATCACATTATAAGGAGCTGGCTGTTAGCTTTGTATCAAGTGAACACAGCATTACTTTGTGCTGACAGGCACTAACATCTCTTTTAGTAGAGCAGATCTACTGGCTGCTTTTCACTTGGCTCTTAAGGAAAATTCCCCCATCAGGAAATTTGAGAGAGGCGGGAGGAAAGAGCAAACGTGAGCAGCATTTCTGCATCTCTAAGGTACCATTAGTTGTATGTGGTAACGCAGGTGGTAATGCTTGCACTGCTTCTGTGCTGCTGTGCTGTAAGAAACAAAGAATGAAGTACTAAACCAACCCGTTTCTGATTTCTACCTGAAAATACTTGGAGGTAGACGTTAGGACCGAGAAGACCCGATTTAAGAAGATGGGATTTTTAGCCTGTTTTAGTAACTGTTTGAGCGCTCCAGGTAGTGCAGTAAGCGGGCGTCCGGATTAGTTATTCTTCCACACAATGTTCAAGAACTTGACAACTTCCTCATAGATGATGAAGACAATGGCGACATCCATACACACCCGACCCAGACGAGGAATGGTACCTTTGTAGAACCTGGACATGGGGAGAGCATGATGTTACATGAAGACACTGTGATTCAATTGTGATTTTGCTACTTAAAGCTGCAGTATGTAGTTAGCTTTTAGGAAAATTAATTTTTTACATATTTGTTTAAGCCATCACTATGTCCTGACAGTAGAATATGAGACAGATAATCTGTGGGAAAATAATCTAACTCTTCTGCCTTCTCCCTGTGATCCTACTGTCATCTGCAGAAATGCACCGATCTTGGTCAGAAACAACCAATCACAGCCAGGAGGAGGGTCTTAGCACTGTCAATCATGCTTGTGTACATGGTGATCTCTTAGCTTCCATTAGCACAGCGTCGGCAAACCAGCAATCATGAGCTCGTACACGCTGTGTGGGGGACGGAGTGAGCAATGCGTACACCAGAATGACTGACAGTCCTAAGACCCTCCTCCTGGCTCCGATTGGTTGTTTCTGAGTAGGAGCGATGGCAATCTCCAGCAGTCATTGGGTGAGAGGCGGAGTCCATCCTGCAGGTCACCACCCCTTCACCGGGCAACCACAGCAGAGATCAAAAAGAGAAACTTTTATCCCCAGCTTCACTCTGTCCCATTGCACTTACGCCATTGGCCCTTCATGCTTCATGATTTGAACGGCACAGTCCACTGTGCTTTTGTACTTGTGGGCGTCGAGTCCCTGTTGACAAAAACACAACCCATCACTAACAGTGCTGCAGGTCGAGTTCTGAGGCAAGGATCAAATGTGAGAGGGAGCTGACCTGCATCCTGGTCTTAATCACATCCAGTGGAGTGTTTCCAAAGACACTGGCGGCTCCGGCGAAAGCTCCAAACAGCCCGGTGATGAGGGGGTTGATGACTTCTTTGTTGGGGTCATCACCTTTAAGAGGGACGAGAAGCGGTCTGTTTGAAAAAGCTGCAGCTTTAGATGGACTTTTATTACTGCAGCGGTTTATTTTCATACCTTTGTACCAGTTTCTCAGTGAGGTCATGACGTAGAAGCGGATGGCCTGATTGGAGCCCTGTTTCAGCACAGTGGCAGTGAGTCCCTGATAGGTCCCCTTTAGTCCTGAAGACGAGTCAGACAACAAAACACTTCATTAACAAAGTGGAAGGAGGATATGGTCTGTTAAAATAACATAAACGAATCAGAGAGGAAAGATGAACTGCTTGGTCCGTGTAGTTTTCGTTCAACTGAACGAAAACAACACGGACCCAGCGGAACCAATCATTTCCAATGTGGCAGAAACATTATGTGCATAGCGGTGGTTAACCAGCAGGGGGCAGTATATATAAATAAAACCTTCCTCACCTTGGGTCCTTACAATCTCCCTCACCCCGTGAAAAAATCCTCTATACTTTGGGTTAGCTGATGTTTGATCATGGATGAATTTAACCTAAAAAGACAAAGAAGAATAAGAAGTTTGTTTACATGAGTAAAATTACACAGCAGGAGCCCAGAGTCTGTTTTTGAGTTTAGTGAAGATGCTGGGGTTTAGCTTAGATCCACCAAACAACAGTAAAATAAAATACATCCAGACACATTTTCACTTGTTCTTTTGCACAAGAACTTCCACTGCTGCAGCTTCTTCTTCTTCTTCTTCTCTGAGAACTGATTGTTCTTGAAATGTAAGTTCTCATAGAACAAGAAAAACAGGGAATTTCCTGAGAGGCACATAACACATATTGTTTTTTTCTATGACATTCATTTGCATTTTTGGTGCCTTTAAAAAACAGTCATACCCCTGAAGCTTTTTTCCATTTCATCGTGCTACAAAAAATTATTTTGACTAATATTTTTTTAAATTTTATTAAGTAAATGACCTGCGAAGAATAAATGGCTACATTGGATTGGATTTCATTTAGGGATATCAGAGTATATATTTCAAATATTTAATTACAAAATAGTTGAAAAACTATGTATAATTTTTGTCATTTCATAATTATGCATCATTTTCTGCTGCTCTATCATATAAAATCTCAATAAAATCCAAAGAGATTTGTGATTGTACAGTGACTCTTCAAGGGGTATGAACACTTTTGCAAGGCCCTGTGTGTGTACACAAAAATATTTTAACTTCCCCAAAGTATTGTAACTTTTTAATTATACCTTAACAGTCTCCATTGGACAGACTACCATCACGGCCTCGGCGACTCCGGCTCCAAGACCGCAGAGGAATCCTCGTTTGCTGTCTAGTTTGCCGCTCTCGTCTCGCATTTTATTACTGAGGAATTCAAACATCCCGAACCTGCCAGGGTGAGGAGGACATGGAGACGATCACTGACACCGCAGAGAAACTCTGGGTGGTTCTGCATAATTGAAAGCAGGAAGTTTTAGCTTCCTGCTTCCTTCATGCTACATGCTTCATGATTTGAAGCATGTAGCATGCTCCATCAGTCCAAATTGGACTGATGGAGTCCAATATGGAAGAAAGTTGTTTATTATACAACATCACAGAATATGTCAGATAAGCCATGAAGGTCAGTTTTTGTGTGGAGTCCCTCAGTGTAGCATAAGTGTAAATACTAGCGGTGCGCCGATAAATTGGCCCAGATTTCCTTAATTTTGGGAAATCAAAAACTATTTTATCCACCGATCTTAACTTTCACAAAGGTATGAAAATCATCCCTGTTTGATCTGCAGGGACAGAGGGCTGACTCACACACCTGCCCACATCTGGATGTACACAGTTAAACAATAGTCACAACACTGTTGCCAACTTAGCAATTTTATCACTATGTTTAGCAACTTCTCAGACAAAAAAAAAAAAAAATGTTTGTTGACACAACAGACAATTTGTTGACATCATGAGTGCTTCACATGGAGAAGTCTTTACTTTCTAATCAAATGCATGTTACAATGACTGTATCAACAACAAACACAATCAGTGCAAAAGGAAAGAGGCTGCTCTAATAAACTCTATAGTTTATTAGAGAACCACTTGTGTGTGTTTAGTGTTGTGGCTGCAGTACCTGACAGCTGCTTTGGGTACAGAGCCGTAGAGCAGCGAGCTCAGGCCTCTGTACAGCCCCTTCACCCCATGGCCGTTCACCGTCTGCTTCACACAGTCCACTGTTAGGACAAAATGGACACAAGTTAGTTTTTAAAGCATTAATGGCACCTAAATAGGCTGAAGGGACACAAATATCAGAGGAGTTTTGTTTTCAAGTTGGGCTTGTATAAAGATCTGTGCCAAGGTTCAAAATTCAAAGGTTGGCTTACGATGACTCTTAACCTGTGATAACACAAGTTATCACAGGTTAAATATACATAGAGCATAAAAAGATTTTCTTCTTACTTTAAAAGGTGAGTTCATTTCTAGTTTGTTATATTTGGAAAACTGTTTTTGTTTTCTTGGTGACAGTAGTTCTGAATGATTGAATACAGTTCAGTCACAATATTCAGTAATAATTGAAGCCGGTTTTTTAAATCCAGGCTGAAACAACTTTTGATTTTTGTTCCATGTTGGGCACTCCTCAATGTTTGGGATGCTCGATCTAAAAGCCACGATCTATGTATAGTATCCAAAGTTAAAAAAAAAAAAAAAAAGAAAAGTTGTATCGGGACACCTCTGATAAAAAACCTCAGATAAAAATTCAGTCCATTTACCATTTAGTCCGTTTATGTATGATTTTCAAACTAAACACTTCCAACCATTAAACATGGTGGGGGAAACATCATAAAAACAGAGAACTATTTTTATAGTTCTCTGCTTCACTTCAACTCAATAGCGGTTTCCAAAAAAATAAAATAAAAAATCCTGTATGTCAAATATGACTTAAAAGAAAATTTAGTTAGTCTGAAGGAGCTGAGTAGAGGAGAGGGGAGGCGTGGTCTCCTGTATGAGGCGGAAGCTGGGAAGCTTGGAAACTGTAACTCTGAGGAGGAGGAGCTGCGTCTTGAAGGCGTGGCTAAGTTCACCCAGACGTTTTGAATGGCTGAATGGTTGCAACGGGAGATTAAAAGATTTCTCAAAGATGCAAAGGCACCATGAGGGAATAACATTATGAACATCAGAAAAGTCGATGTGACATAACACCGCCCCTTTAAGTTTCTGGAACAAAAGAAGATGGTGGACGACCTTCAAATTCCAAAACCAACAAATAATCAGTTAAATGTTGCTTAGGCCACACTGGGTTACACTAGTCAGGGCAAACTCACCGATTCCTCTGTATTTGGGAGGGTTGGCTTTCTCGTCGAGCTGCAGCTGTGTTTTTACATACTCTGTTGGGAAGGTGATGCAGATCTCAATGCCTCCTGCAATCCCGCCTGAGTGAACACAAAACATCTGGGTGAAGACGGTTTCCTGAGGCGAAACCGGGTCAAAGAACCAACACAAAGGGAGCCGCCGAGGGACACAACAACTCTTTATCACACAACAACATACGGGGCAAAAAAAATGTCCCCTTCATGGCTTGTCGTTTTTAAGTTCTGTTTAAAAAAATTACACATAAAATAGATCAAAGTATCCTATAAAATTTTAAACAAAAAATATTTAAAAGTAAAAATCATCCACATTGATGTTGATTAATGAATTGCATAAGAATACATAAAATCTGAAATATATGGTATGCACTTGTATTCAGTCCACTTTACTTTCATACCCCTAAATAAGATGTCAGTACATCCAGAAGTCAGTATTTATAGATTTTTCGTAAATAATGTGAAAACCATTCATAATTTTCTTTCCATTTCAATTTATGTAACAACTTTGAAGTTGTAAAGTTACAAAAGTCAGAAGGGTGCTAATAATATTCATCATATCTAACACAACTAAACATGAAAAAGGCTCTTGGTTTTGTCACACGGAATAAAATACAACACAACATGCTTTAAAAACATGAATAAAGCGTTACCCACGACGTGAGACATAAAGATGTATAAACAAAACACAAAGAAAGAGTTGTTAGTGAAGCCGGTGCTGGATTGTGAGAACTCCCAACGTACGGTACCGAGTTGAGCCGTTCCACCTTAAATTCCTGGCGGTCACACATCTGCTGTTGAACAGCAAACAAGGCGCCTGCAGCTGATTGGCTGGGCTGATCTCAGAGTGATTCTACCCTCAGATACGCCCCTTGGCCCCGCTCCAAGTCAAAGGGGGCGTGTAACCTCTTGATCAGCACTTTGGTGAGCCACCAGAGCAGATCCAGTGTCTGTGAGTGGACACATTCTTGTAACGCAAACAAGAGGTGTACTGTATGCATAAAGGGAAAGAAGCTAACATGACAAAACACACTGATAAAATGGGAGATATAATCTTATTTTTAAGATTGCTTCATAAAAAAACAACAACCGTGCTTTAGTTTGAACGTGCCCCTATGAATAAAAAAGGCATAGTGTGTTGATGCTCTTAACATGCATTTCCAACAAAAAATACAAAAAAAAAAGTCATGCAGTGAAATTCAGCACAGCAGTGGTTCAAGCCAACAATCAACTCAAACAAGTTGGGGGTTTTGTGCAAAATACAACCACAGAATTACAGCCTTCCCAAACCGGGGCTTGCACAAAACCCTTCTAGTGTTTCATGAAAGCCTGTTCTAAATGTGCCAACAGTGCTGGATGCGACACACCCAGGCAGTGTAGTTAGAGGCTGGCTCTGAAGCTCTAACTACAAATTAAGCCAGGATCAAAATCACAGTACACAACACAGTCATCAAGAGACGAGACTTGGCAGTACCTGCAGTGGTCCACATATTCAAGCTGGGGAAAGACAAAGAACCAGTTGATCGAGTTCAGATGTGTTCCATCGATTTAAACATCATTTTAACAAGATGAAAACAAGCAAAACACACTGTAGTGCTTCTAATGAGAGTTAACCAGGTTCCAGAGAGAATTTATCAAACTAGTAAAAACAAGCCATTGAAACTCTTGATTTAATAGTCACAGTATTCAGTCTCATGCTATGCCATGCGGCTGTTTCGTCTGCGACAATGAAGATCGGCTCCCGTCAGTACGCTGGACACTTGGAGTGACTTCTACTGACAGCAGCCCAACCTCATTTTCTGATTAATTCAGAAAATAATAATTTGGCCACTTGGAGGAACACAAACATGTGTATAGAGTATTTTACTTTTAGCCATAGATGGTCAAACGATCATTAAGGGTGCATTCACATCAGCCCTGTTTAGTCTGCCTTAATACGACTCTAGTTTGTTTACCTGGTTCACCTGGGGAGATGTGAATCGAACTCTGATGAGAGTAAATTAGATTATCTTTGCCCACTTACTAGGTGTCTCTACAGACATCTGACAAGGATACAAATACTGAAAATTATTTATTTTCTTCTTCTCTGAGTCAACATCAGATAAACTAGCACATCATCCCTGCCTTCAGTGAAAACTCCATATCTCTGAATGGAATGCTGACGTTTGAGGAGGCGCGCGGACGTCTCCTTGAGGTCGAAACGTCTCAAGCACACAGACACACATTTATCTCTAAAGGGAGATCTAAGAGGAACAACAAGCTAAATCTGCATTCATTTGTGCTGAAGACCTGAAACAACCTCCTACAACATGCATCACGCTGCTTTTCGTCCCGCAAGTTTGCAAGTCAGAAATTGAGGAGCAGCGCGTTGTCACAACGACACTGTCGACAGAGTTGGTCACTTATGTTAGCTTGACATTTGGAATGAAGTATTGTTTTTTTTTTTGGACTTTAGGGAAAAAAAATGTGGCCGAAAAAGTTGCTAAAGTATTTGAGACCTAAATACCTACATAGTTATTTACTGGTTTTAGGTTATCTGTGAACACAACTAGCCTCTGGGGGATTCCACTAGTAACAGCAACGTTTAACATTTAAATAGTGAGTATGGTGACAACACAAGAGATCTGAACTAGTTAGGCTTCAGTTGAGGCCTGCACTAATGATTATTAGTAATAGGAATTACTCTAAAAATTATTCTGATGATTAAATCAGATAAGAGTAATTTTCACATTCTGCAGATTCTTCATTTAACCATATAAGATAAGCTGAGCTGCACCTTTAAACAAGTGGATGTGCAGAAAACCAGTCTATGGCAGCAACTATGAGGACTACAGTGTTTTCTCCATGTTTTGTCTTACATAAACAAATAGAGTAAGCTTGTTGCCTTTATGCCCTCAAATGTTACCCTGACCACTCCACCCTGAGGACAAGTTTGAAAAAAGCAATCTGTTTGTAACATCAGTGGGGAAAAATAAAAATAAAAAAAAAAAGAGGAAAGTTAAGCCCCTGTGCTGAGCCCCTGAACTGAGCCTGGGGCCGGCGCAGGCGTGTTGTAATCTGGGAGCAAAGTGCTTCGTCATCGTGGCTCGTGACCACGAGCGCCGGGTCCCGGGCTTCTGAGCAAACCCAATGAGGGCAGCAGGTTAATAAACACACACAGGGAGTCACGTTCAGGAAAACGATGGGCGACGACTGTGAATCTTATTGATGTTTTAAACGTGATCAGTAGTAGTAGTGTCCAATAGTCACGGTATCTGTGTTAACGGTGCCTATGACGCAACATTGCCGATAGGAGATTATTCTCCAGTACATGCTGATCTGTGAGTCCAACCGTCTGTCATTGATTGACTAGAGAGCCGGGGGGCAAAAGGGGCTTGAGCTGAAGTCTGAGGTACCTGATGCAAAGGGGAACGTTACAGAACAAAATGACAAACACCTTTAAGAACCGTCCTAAAGTCTTCTCTGATCACACACTTCCATTCAGCTCTCATCAAAAAGTATTTCATCTGCTCTATCTAATCATCACTAATAATGAGTGACAGAAGCCTTTGGGAAATTTTTCATTAAAAAAACATTAAGTTTTCACAAAAAAAATATCCAGAATAAAGTCATTTTGTGTTGTGTTTAGTTACAATGGGGATCTTCAGAATCACCTTTTAAACTCTATGACTTGGGTCAAACACTTTGTGCGTTCTTAGTTTGCTGGAATTTTGGCCCATTTCACCCAAGGGACCAGCTGTAACTGGGTCAGGCTGCAGACCGCCCATGTTGCCTTTAAAGTAAACTATTCTCTATATGGTTACTCTAAAAGAAAAAAAAAAACAACTGCAGAAAACTTGAAATGGTGAATATGACAGCCACAGGTTCACCTTCACCTGACTCAGATGTTTTGAATTAACCTATCAGACGCTTGCTAAGCTATGAAAATCATCGACTGGGAGGTTCTATGTTATTTGGGTATAGTCTTCCTCATAGTGCAGGAGTCTACAACCTACAGATCCAAAAAACTTTGACTAAAAACTGAAACAGCTGCAGTTTCAAAAATAGATATAGCAACAAATGCAGGTTTTAGCATTTTTTCTGATTTTTCATGGAATAATTACATTTAATTTTTCACCACAGAATCACAGTAAAAGTACTGATCGTTTTTATTCAGATCTACGTTTCTTTTTATTATGCTGGAAACTATGTGCAAATATCAACATCCCACGTAAAAAAAAAAAAAAAAAATTGACATCTTTTTGGAAATGTGCTGCGTTTTTTTATATACATTGAAACCTGACCTAAAACAGAAAACCTTTAGTTTGATCCAGTGTCAGATAGTGTGAAAAAAAGGTGACGTTTTTAAAAGTTGTGGTTTCAACAGCACTAAAATGTTCCACCATTTCTAAACTCCTTTTACTGAGATGTAAAGAGAGATTTCAGTACATGGAAGAATCGTGGTTGTTCTTCTGCTTAACATCACTGAAATGAAAGCATTCTATGCAGATTTTTGTTTAAGATTTGCAAATGAAATGTGGCATTACTACAAAAGATTATCATACTGTGAGGATGCCAACATGCTTTAGTGCAAACACTTAATTCTGAAGTTGAAATAGCTAAACTTCTGCAATGCAACTTTAGATTTTATTCTGCTCAAAAGGATTTTTATGTCAGTGTAATTAAATAACAAGAGAACTGGACCCATGTAGACGGCTCCAAAACATTATTAGGTTAAACTATCAACTTGTAATGGCTCACCGCCAAGGGAACCACTCTTGCAGAGGGGTAGCACGAGCATCGCACATGATGCTGAAGCTGGTAGCTGATTCAGAACTTCTGATTCAGTGCTAACTAAAGGCTTAATTCACAGAATCATTAAGGATTCTGGGTTGTTATTTTATCCTTAGTTCGCAAAAGAAAATATTTAAACAGATCAAACTTTAACTGTAGTAGTTTAGACAAAGCAGAATCTGCATTGATTTTGTTGCAACTTGTAAAATAAAGGCAGCCAATACATCTTTTCTTTAAAACAGAGTTTCGGATTTATGGAATCCGTTTGTATTTCCAATGTTGCTGGTGAAGGGGTCAAAGGTCAAAAGTACATAGACATTCCTGTGACAACACTTGCTCCAGTATTTTATTTTAAGAGCGTCTGATTTCATGTGTAAAATAAACATTTTTGGATTTTATTTTATTTTTTTAATTCTTGTACACTTCAGATATATTCTAAAGTTGGATCGGAAACAACTTGTTCCGCAATGACTGCATAAAAAAGAAAAGAAACACTAGCATTACTATTGAGAATACCTTGGTCAACACACATATTTTCTTAGATATTCACATTCATTAGTAATTTAGCAGGGTAGTCCTAAAAAAAGTGATAGTTTCCCTAGGAAGTGAAAGGAAACACACCGGAGTCCAGTGAGCTGACAGCGCTGGAGCTTGTAAACTCAGGCGCAGACCCCAGCGCTCAGCCCCGCTGTCACCCCTTCCTTACCTGCCAGAATAGCCTTGCCCGGGTGCGTTAGTTTGGCTTTCCCCGCCGGAGCTGCAGCAGCTAAAAACTGCGGTCGGTGAAACGGACTCACAAATCTTCTCGGTTCAGACATGCCTGCGGTCCCCTCGGCCTAACTTTTTTCTTTTTTTTTCTGTTTTTAAATCAACACGCGCAGTTGGCCGCCACACACTCGCTCGGCTTTGAAGTCCTCATGCAGACTGGCTGCTTTGAGCAAGAGAGGCGCCGCGGACATCCAAAGACCAGCCTGGCGATGTTGACCATTGGACTTAGTGCATATCAGGAGTTCATGATGTCTGTGGACTTTTGTCAGTAAAGTTCCCTCTGTGGCATTTACGGAGCCTTGAAAGCACCGACGGGCGGGGCAGGACGTGACACTTCGCCCCACCAACACGGAAAAACGCCATGTTTGTTATTTTTAAGGTGGACCGATATAATTATTTCTAAGAGCTTGCCAGCAGAGGGCACTGTTACCTTTTACTGGGAATCTAGGCTTTGCGGCAGTTTTATTTGGAGGGGAAATGCCTTAGTCAATTATAGAAATTTTAAATTCTGTTTTAGAGTAAGATTAATACTTATAATATTTTCAAACATTTGTGTATGCTGTTTATTGATGAATACTCAGGTTGTACAGTTAGAATTTCCCCGAAATGTCTCGTCGGAGATAGGCACCAGCACCCCTCCTGACCCCACAAGGGACAAGATGTAAGAAAATGGATGGATAGATGGATGGATGAGAATAAAGTCATAATGTTATGAGAACAAACTCATATGAGAATAAATTTGAAATAAGAGAATAAAGTAATAATACAACTTTATATTCTTAAAATCTTATGACTTAATTCTCATATTATTATTACTTTATTCTCATGGTTTTATTTTTTTCTTGGTATAGCCCTAATACTCCTCTGTTGTACATATCAGCAAATTAGAATATATATATATATATAAAATTCAACATTGTTTGTCAGTCATTTCAGAAAGTCAAATTCATATATAGATTCATTTCACATAAAGCAAAGTATTCCACATCTTTATTTGTAGTGATTTTGATGGCTATGGCTTAAGCATAATGGAAAAATTCAATTTCTCAGTCAAATAGTGAACTATTGGAAACTCATGGTGTTACCCAAAAAATCTGGAAAGGTTTCCTGCCTCTAAACAGTCTCTCACTCTGGGTCAGTCAGCTATGATCACAACCTTGAAGAAGATTCCCAGGTAAAATTTATTCAGAAATTTGGGGGAGCTTCACTAGAAGTGGACTGAGACTGTAGTGCTGTAGTGCATCCAAAGTCACTAAGCATGAATGAATCTACACTTGGGCTACAAGGATCTTACCTGGGCTGGAAGGGGAACAAATGAGCTGTTCCTCAGATGTCCAAAGTCCTCTTTTCAGATGAAAACAAACTTTGCCTTTCATTTGGAAATCAAGGTGTGGAGGAAAAATTAAGAGGAATCAATGTTGCGTCAAGGTTTCCACAGCCAGTGATGGTTTAGGTTGCCATGTCATCTGCTGATTCTGGTCCACTGGGTTTTCTCAAGCCCAGTCAACACAGCCGTCTACCAGGAAATGCTAGAGCACTTCATGCTTCCCTCTGCTGATGAGCTGAATGGAGATGCTGAGTTGATTTCCCAGCAGGGCCAATCAACACTTATATAAGTAGCAAAAGCTGCTTCAGTGACCATTGTGTTCCTGTTCCTGATTGACCAGCAAACGCCAATGACCTGTTTTCTTTAACCTTTAAACCATAGTCATTAAAATTGCAACAAGATAAATAAATAAAATAAAAGCTCAAAACATTTTACTCTATGTGTGATGATTTGAAATAATTTCACTTTGAGATGACTAGCAAGAAATATTGCACTTTTACGCAATATTCTATTTTTTTAAGATGTGCTAGTATGCTGCAATTTAACTGCTGCAGTCCTTAGCTTTGAAAACTAAGCTTTTAAAATGAAATATGCTTGCAGCATTTTCATTATTTAAGGGATGTGAGAAAGGATGACTCTACAGAACACTAATATTTCATCTGCATAGTCAGGTTCTTATTAATATATACACTAAAATTAAACTCTATTTCTTCCCCTCCAACAGAAATCAAATTTCTGTCAAGGATGGATTGAAAAAAAAGCTTTGCATCCCTATAGTAACTTTACATAATAATACCAACAAACTCATATTTTCTTGATTTTATTGTGATTTTTTTTTTTTTTTTTTTTTT